TTTACCTTGCCAAATGAACATTTAAATCTCAGAATTTTATTCAACTCTGGATAAACGTTGTTTAACAAACGATCATAGATTCAAATCGCTATTATTGGTTTGTATTACAAGGGGGTAAGCGCAGTAGATGGAACAGTGAAACAAATGCACGTGCAGTACGTGATGAGCGTTAACTTAGACCAGCCCTTCTTGTTCTCGGTGTTTCATCTAATGTGCATACCCCCTTGTAATACAAACCAATAATAGCGATTTGAAACTATGATCGTTTGTTAAATAACTTTTATCCTAAGTTGAATAAAATTCTGTGATTTGAATGTTCAATTGGCAATGTAAAATTATGAGGATTCGCAATCTTAATTTCACTTAATTTGATTTACTTTTTTGTTTACTTTTTGACGTTCAGTCGTGTTGACTCAATTGTTTTTCATAATGCACATTCACCTTTGTTTTTCACATTAGTGGGCGGGCGGTGGAGTAGCCTAGTGGACAATGTATTCGGTTGTCACGCAGACCCGCGTTCGATTCCCCATAAGGGTACAGTGTGATGACTATTTGGGTATTCTCCAGCACCATGTTGTTGGAACATTGCTAAAAGGCGTAAAACCGTTCTCACATATTCACACGATTAGGAAATCGTTTAAGTTGGTTACACAAACTGTATGAGTATTAAAACTGCAACGCATTCGTCAATGCAAGGAGAAAGCGGTAAACGCATTGGTGATCAACTCGTGTCCTAACGAGACATGCCGAATGGTCTTCCACGGAAAGATGCGAGTGGTGCCGAATACAGTCACAGCATCAGTCAAACCGTTTCCATGGTTTCCTCCTAGCGCCCTTATTGCACGCATTCCCCTTTGAAAAGATGATGTTTCTGGCTGCTGTTTAACGCTCAGCATCCTTCCAACTCTGTGACGGCGTTCTGTCGGCGTTCTGTAAATGACAATCTGGATCAGACATTCCAGTGATTGACATCACGTGCATGGCTTCATCGCATGCGCAAATGTGATACAACATGCATCAACATGCAGCGTGCCTGACTACTCGATCTCCTGTTAGTCGCCTCTTACCACAGGCCCTCGTGTCTTTGCGAGGATTAAAGATAAATAAAATATTGTGTTTGAGATGACCCCCGACTCGAAATGCTTCACATTACATATACATCATGACAAGGCCGGACACTTTGATGCACCCTACCCGACTGTTTTGCCGACCGCTACGCTACCATCGCATGCAATCGATTAAAACTTAATGTAAACATAATCATGGATGATTGGCCTATCGAGAACCACTCATGACACCTACCAATTCTTTATTGTTATTTCTGCAGGGCGGTGGGGTAGCCTAGTGGTTAAAGCGTTGGCTCGTCACGCCGAAGACCCGGGTTCGATTCCCCACATGGGCACAATGTGTGAAACCCATTTCTGGTGTGCCCGGCCGTGATATTGCTGGAATATTGCTAAAAGCGGCGTAAAACTAAACTCAGTCAGCCAGTCAGTTATTTCTGCAAGTCGATTGAAACCCGATTTTGACTCTGAACTAAACGATCTTGATTTTATATGCTTTTTTTAATAATCTTTAATCCTCGCAAAGACACGAGGGCCTGTGCCTCTTACGACAACCAAGTGTTACGAGCAGGTTCACGTTAACAATGGTACAAGAATCTGTATCTAAACGTCGCACTCAAACAATAAATGAATCGAAGTTGCTAGCCATCAAAAGTCAGTATTGTATTTTCCAACTGATAAAATGCCACTCAAATAAGAGTTACTAGTACAGAGGAGGAATAATTTGTGCAACTTACTTTAGCTTACCTTATCGCGAGTTTCCAAGTCATTATATCCTATTTTTAACTTAATGAATAATCATTCGTATACACTTAAGTATGGAATCCTAGAAGGGACATTGTTGTCCCCCTGAAAACCAAGCAAAACGTGTCCACAGTAACCAGAGTGCAACAATGTGACAACGCGACATTTTGATCATTTGTCGCATTGTCACTATGTCGCATTGTCGCGCTTTTAATGATAGCTCTTTTATTCACCTAAAGGGCGACATGCGACACGACACGATGTCGCATTGTCGCACTTTGGTTAATTTTGCCACTTTTTGCTTGTTCATGTGAGGGCGACAACGCGACAATGTCTCTTCTAGGATTCCATACTTATGCGTGTGAGCGTTGCTACTTGAACTATTCCGGACTAATACCAGTTTTATAGTGCTAGCCCTCTGATACTGGCACAGTTACCATTGATACACATGACACAGACCCCCACAGACACAGGGTACTCCCTCCAAGACGACCTGTTGTTGCCGAGCACCAGACTCGGTTCACTTCTTTGGTATGAGTGAGTGAGTGAGTGAGTATAGTTTTAGCAATATTCCAGCAATATCACGACAGGGGACACCAGAAATGCGTTTTACACGTTGATCCCATGTGGGGGAATCGAACCCGGGTCTTCGGCGTTAGAAGCAACGCTTTAACCACTAGGCTACCACACCGCCCATTGTTTGGTATGAGTGAGTAAGTGAGTTAAGTTTTACGCCGCGCTTAGCAATATTCCAGAAATATCACGCCAGGGGACACCAGAAATGGGCTTCACACGTTGTACCCATGTGGGGAATCGAACCCGGGTGTTCGGCGTGACGAGCAACGCTTTAACCACTACGCTACCCGGCGCCGTTCGTTTGGTATGACGCTTCCAGGGTATCGAAGACTGTACACAAGTTCCATGCAACAAGATTTTATTAACAGTTCACATGTATATCACAGAATTCATCCGAGTAGGTAAAGGGTAAATAAGGTAACAATATTAGATGGAGCAAAGGATTAACATCACATGTTATTAAGACACATCAGTTCACTGTAAAGATACTAGAAGTAGCTATGCAGTCTTCTTCAAATTATACTGTTCCTACCCGTGAGAGACGAAACAAAGTGTTGCGCCAGCTCACTTCACCTTTCCTCATAATTTGTAAACAAAACAAACAAAATGTAACAATAATGAGGCGAAAACGAAAATGCAGAAATCTATAGGCGTTTCAGGAAAGAGACACCGAAGCAATATTTACACTGAATAACAGTGGGTGAGAAACCGATTAGAGATGATTGATGTGTGCCAGGTCGAATTCCAGGTCTCTGATTGGCGTTTCCATGGTGATGACCTATCGTCAGACATGGCGAATTACGTTTCTGGTTGTAATCTATATTGATAAGTAACTCGTGCTTAAGTCGAATTCACCTTCACGTATGTCGAGACTGTATTGTTTCAGAGTGTTAATAAACGTTCTGTGAAGTTCTCTGTAAATAGAAGTATCTATAGATATTTGTTTTGTGGAGGGTCACACTTAGTATCAGTAGTAAGCAGTCATTCAGATGACGTCACGCACTGCTGCGCTATGTATTTATACGCCACTGTGAGCAAGAGGAAGGACTAAGCATGCATATATTTGATACCAAAATGGGTTTGTAAGAAAAAGATTTATGCAGCCGTGAATTTATATCATCATCTATCTTTCAACAAATTGTTATAAAAACCAGTTACGTTTTGAAACAACTCGTAATATAAATGGTACCAACCCCTCGTCTAGTAATTTTTCTATTTTATACTTAATACTGAGCATAGGAACCAACCAGCTTGGTTCGCCACTGTGTCGAAGCGTTAGCGCAGCAGACCCCGGGAACCAGACTGAGGAACCAAGCAACATTTACAAACGTGTAACCCGTCTGGGTCAAGCGTCAGTGTTGTGCTGTCTTTCCATCTGTATCGCTTACCCTAAATCTAGTTATCAGACAACGAAAACTTAAGGAATGCCAAACGTGTTTCGCATGATTATGGCTAGTCTTTAAGGCCGTGACAAACTAATTATGAAAAAAGCGGGCGTCGCATAATTTCTTTTGCGTTGTACATTAACCGTAGATCAACAGTAATAGACAACATTTTATAATAGGTGATAATGTCAAGTTGCAGTCGTGACAAGCTTACTACGGACGGACAAACGTACATATGACGGACAATGTGCTGCTGTTCACTTGAACATTTCGGTCAGGTGAGCTTCGCACAGACACATGTGACTAGGTAAGCCAAAGCCGAACACTATGTACTCTAATACACACAGATCCTGCAGACTCGTGTCAGGCTGTGCTGGTTGGTTGCAGACACATCCTCAGATCAATATCACCGCGTCTTGTTGATCCGTTCAGCCTGCGAATTGCATCAATATGTTCTGGAGACCCATTACCCGTTCATGGCGTGATCTACAACCCGTTCATCCTGTGGCTTCACCAACCTACCCTGTAGACTTACAATCCATTCATCCTGTGACTGCACGAGCATATCATGTAGAAGTACAATCCATTAATCCCGTGACTATACCAACCTATCATGTGGACTTACAATCCATTCATCCCGTGATGAATCTGAAGTCAATCTTCTTGACACCCACATAGAAAATCATTTCCGACCCACAGTCAATCCTTTTCCACACGACCACACAATCATCTACATGTAGTCAATCTTTTTACGCCACGCATTCAATCATATTCCCACTAACACGGTCAATCATTGCCACGACCTAACAGTCAATCATCTTTACGCCCAGTCGACCTTCTTCACACCACACAGTGAATAATCTTCACACCAACACAGTCAATCATCTTCACACCAACACAGTCAATCATCTTCACACCAACACAGTCAATCATCTTCACACCAACACAGTCAATCATCTTTACATCAACACAGTCAATTATCTTTACATCAACACAGTCAATCATCTAACACGGTCAATCATTGCCACACCAACACGGTCAATCATTGCCACACTCAAACATTCATCATCTTTACGCCCACAGTCAACCTTCTTCACACCACACAGTGAATCATCTTCACACCAACATAGTCAATCATCTTCGCACCAACATAGTCAATCATCTTCACACCAACACAGTCAATCATCTTTGTATCAACACAGTCAATCATCTAACACGGTCAATAATTGCCACACCCAAACATTCATCATCTTTACGCCCACAGTCAACCTTCTTCACACCACAAAGTGAATCATCTTCACACCAACATAGTCAATCATCTTCACACCAACACAGTCAATCATCTTCACACCAACACAGTCAATCATCTTTACATCAACACAGTCAATCATCTTCACACTTACACAGTCAATCATATTCAACCCCCAGTCAATCATCTTCACACCAACATAGTCAATTATCTTCACACCAACACAGTCAATCATCTTCACACCAACACAGTCAATCATCTTCACCAACCAACACAGTCAATCATCTTCACACCAACATAGTCAATCATCTTCACACCAACATAGCCAATCATCTTCACACCAACAGTCAATCATCTTCACACCAACACAGTCAATCATCTTTACACCAACACAGTCAATCATCTTCACACCAACATAGTCAATCATCAATACATCTTTACACCAACATAGTCAATCATCTTCTTACACCAACACAGTCAATCATATTCACACCCAACACAGTCAATCATCTTCACACAATCCCCCCACACCCCACTGAAACAGTCCCGGACGTTCACAGCCACACAATCTGTCCTCTTCAGGTCAATATGGATCAATCTATATCTCCACACAGACTATGCTTTGGCCACACATTTGGGTTTGAAAACAGAGATACCACCTCCCCAGTCAACCACACACAACTCGTCGCGCAGACTTAAACAAACAGACGCTGGCTTCTTGATACCATTCTTCTCACTAAGCACTTTTTCACACCTAATGCTGGTCCCCACTTGTACTCGATACACCGCATTGGCGTCCTGGTCGACCACGTAGATGCTCCCGGAAGACCTTTGACAACACAATCCACCAAGACTGACGAACTTCCGGTCACCTGAAGGTGTAAAGGAAAAGCTCTTCTCCCCGACCTTCCTGCCGTTCCTAGTCTTGATGTCATACCCGACCAGACTTCTCTGCAGAGTATCAGCGACGACAAACGTGTCAGTTGACACACCACACATGTGATTGGGCGTGCAGATGGCCCAGCACTGCTGGCTGTTCTCCAGCAAACAGTGTCGTCTGGTCAGTTGGAAACGATTGTCAACTTGTACCATGTCGATTCTAGCGGGCCTGATTGAACTTCCGGTGAGGAGGGTGTTGGTGGCCAACATCGCCACGCTACGAATGTTGACCTCAGTGTCAATGATGCGCAAGAAGTACAGTTCCGGGATTGAAATGAAGACTATCTTTCCCTTATTTAGAAGGTTGACCACAACACAGTCCTCTAGAGATTCGTCCAGCGGAGCTACAGATGTCGGCTTCCCATCGACCTTGACCTTTGTGTAGGTTTTACATCCTTGGAAGAAGCCCTCCCAGAGAAGGACGTGGTTGTTGTTATAGTCTGTGATAACGATTGTATTTGAATTTGATAGACAACATACATCTGAAAACTGTCTGTCTACTGACGTTCTGTAAAAACCAACCCTTTCCATCATGTCGGAATCAACAAAATAGGCAGGCATCTCATGACGGTTTAAGTCATTAGAACTGTGACTCTTCGTAGTGCACAGAGGGTTAAGGTTGACTTGCAAGTTAGCTTCAGAATAAAACTCAGGTGTTGGATAAGAAAGAGTCATGGCTCCACAAGGAAAACTGTGTCGTAGATGGTCGATACTTCTACCTGTTTCTATGAGCGAACGCCGATGACTGTACCGCGAAGGGTGCTGATTCTGTAGAACAAATGGGCTCAGAGGCGGGTCCTGAAGAGACGGAGAAGCTGTACTGCTCTCCTCTGCATCCTCTTCCTGGTGTCTTCCATTGTCTGGGTTTGGTCCAGCAGGGAGAACCTCCGGGGAACCATCTTCTTCATGGTCTGGATTCAGCACAGAGGTTCTGACCGGAGATGGGTCAACTGAAGGGGGACACACATTCTCAGCTTTATCACCAGCCTGTGGAAGAAGATATTCTATCATATTCTGAACCATGAAGTTATTCTGTATACCTTCTACCCAGTGGCTTAAGGGCATTTCATAGTTTTTAATAAAGTAAAACTGGTTGCATAGTGGGCAAGGAAATCCTTGCTTCCTCCTTGCACGAAATGCATTCTGGGATTGTATGTAGGAGTCTAGACAGTGGCAGCAGAAGGTGTGGAGACATGGCAGGCACTTAGGCTGACTGTACATCTCGTAACAAATCGGACATGTCAGAAACTTCTCTCCGATCTTCTTTGTTGTGGGGGTAAGGCGGTTGGTTGTGGAGACGGGCGACTGGGCATGTTGACTGGCTGCTGCTGTGTTCAGGGGGGTCACTGTGTTGGCTGACGATACATGTTGTTCGCTCCCACAGTCAGGACCGTCACTCACAGATGGGGCGCTCTCGGCCATGATGTCCCTGCAAGAAGATGAACATGACATAAATAAAAGCAAAACTATCATTGCGCTTATTGCAAAGACAAAGGGAAAAGGCTCATATTTGACATAGGCTGACGTTCGGAAGAAAGTATAAACATGTTTTGGGTGAATATTTTGAAAATATACGCAACATAAATAGTTTAAGTAGAGTTTTTGTTGTGACTACCAAGTCCCAAATACTGTGTCCCCGTTGCCCAAACACCACAGATATCGTACTAAACTGCGACGTGGCCAGAGCATCGCGTTCCTCGCTCAACATACACGATACAGTCGATGTTGACGGGTTTGTGTCTTGAAGAATCACAAATGGGACCAAGCAGTTGTTGGACAACGTTGATAAGCGAAACTTCTTATATACACATGTTTGGTCGTTCTTCAATATTACTCCGAAGACCCGGGTTCGATTCCCCATATGGGTACAATGTGTGAAGCCCATTTCTGGTGTGCCCCGCCGTGATATTGCTGGAATATTGCTATAATATTGCGGCGTAAAACTAAACTCACTCACTCTTCAATATTACGTTGGCATGTTTTATCACTCAGCCTGTTTTCCAACTTTCGATCTCTTGTAGTCATTGTAAGAATAATACCATTCTCAGGGACACACTCCTTTAAAAAAAATCACGATCAGTTTATAGGAAAGAGATCACCAACGTGACTATATGTAGAACTATTAGAACAAACATATCCGCGTAAAAACCCATCACTATGTCCTGTACTGACTGACTGAGTTTGGTTTTACGCCGCTTTTAGCAATATTCCAGCAACATCACGGCGGGGGACACCAGAAATCGGCTTCACACATTGTACCCATGTGGGGATTCGAACCCGGGTCTTTGGCGTGACGAGCCAACGCTTTAACCACTAGGCAACCCCACCGCCCCCTTTGTCCTGTAAGCTGACCTAGATATCTTTTCCTCATTTGCCTTACTACCGAGCCACATTACAGCTTTGTTTACAGTGCTGTCATCTGTAATGATGAGGGTCTGTTCTCCTTTGAGGGCGTCATGAAATAATAATGAAATCCTGCAATCATTCACCCGGAGCAACATTGTCTACCCTGGCATGACTCAATCACTACATTGCTATGTTTCAAGTATACATTGTTATCAAGTGCGGTTAGACCAAAATCACAATGTGTTTGAAACACCCTTATCAACTCATCAACGTATATAACGGGTCATCTCAGACAGTCTTTTCAAAATCGTATCATATGGTTAGACTATATAATCAGAGATGTGTATTGTAAATCCCTGCGATGTGAATTGTAAATCCCCAGGCTGTGAATTGTAAAGTGGGTTCCCAGACCTCTGCTGTGACTTTGCACTGATCATTTCTAAACCTAGGATATTATTCATGATTGATACAACTTTGTCTTGCTATCACTGATCGTAAAATACCACGTTATTGAAAACTTCTACTATATAGTGACGATAACTGGTTTCGAACCTGCAACCCTTCGCTCTCTAACCTGGCGGTTTTATCCACTAGGCTACGACGAATCGCCGTGAAGAAGGAGATTGTTTGTCAGTACGAAACGTGTGTTCCTCACAAGACGGGTAGTGCGGACAACGCACGTGCAGGACACGGGTAGCACGTGCATTACGCGTGTAAGGCAAGGTGTTGGACTGCCAGTCGCATTCCAGTTGACACGGCTGTTCCATCATTTGCGGGCTGTCCCATCAATGTTGTTCTGCTCGGGGCGTATTGATGTCGATCGTTATATATTATTTTAAAAGATATTTTACGCAAAAACGGTTGATAAGTCGTGGTTTCTCCTATACATAATAATGGTCATTGAGGGTAGTCTGTCTCACAGTCCCTGAACCACATTATTTTCCCAACTGCCTAGCCCTCTCTGCAGTCCCAAAGCCCTAAATGAAGCAAGTCTAGATTTGCTCTGGTTCTGAATCTCCAATCTTACTGGGGCTCCTTTTCAATTTGAAAGGGAGTATTTGTTACTATCAAATTCTTCATATATTAAGAGACTAAGCGTTAGTCTATATCGAGTGTAAAAGATGTTCCATCATAGTCTGCATGTTGTCCATAGTTGCTGACCTTGCAATAAAATCATAACAGGGTGCGTGTACAAATCTTCATTAAACAATGTTCAGATAACCACATACAAATAAACAATATTTTAATGGCTGCCTCAGCTTCTTGGTACACTGTACGGTTGCACACTTGTTTGTATTTTATGTTCCCTTGTTGGCGCGTTCACATGCCTTTCATGTCTAACCGGCACACGCTCATTGGCTATATGGGGGTTAGGAAGAACTCAAAGTTTTTTGGCATATAGTAGAGAAAGGTCCAACAACGAATTTCTGTTATCGTCATAGCTACCGCTTGGGAAACCAACCGCATCAAAATCGCCAATATATCTTATTACCTCTGATCAGTGCCAGTTGAGGTCGAACCAACAGTAATGGCAAGGGAGCTGTACCTTGAACTCTTGTACCATAATCACCAATACTTGAAAACGACAAAAACATTTTTAAACTTCTGATCTTGGGTTGTTTCTCAAGGCAACAGACCGATGGCGAATTTCATTGACATCTAATGGATCTTGTAGTTCACTATATGGTTTTAATTTGCATCTGTATTGATAAATAAAGTCATGTATTAGATCTTTCTCTCTTGATTCTAAAGATACGCATGAACGTTGATCTAAATCATTTCAAAGATATTACACCCAACAATACTTCAGAGACTGAGGACACCGATTTAACAAACCAGTTCCCACCCCTGCAGAACTAAACGCAAATTTGGTGGTTCGACTGAAGCGCCACCTTTGGCTATTACGAGTTACGTCATTTCTCTGTGCCTCCTATGGACCAATCACATTCCACCTTGCGTTTGCTTTAAACAAAATGGCGGCGCCCTGTCTTTGATCGATATTCAAGATCTATATTGTAATAAAACGCGTCCAACCTCGCGATGTGCATCAGATCACTCAGCACCTCGATTAAAAACGCAAAAAGATTTGGAAAATATCTATTGACACCAAGTTGATGTGCTTTGTATATCCTGCGATCGACCGCAATCGGCAGTCGTAAAGCTGTTTACGAGGAGACTCGTCAGTCCAGTCATAATATAACTTAGACGTTCGAACCTAGTTTCGGCAAGACTGGGAATTGGACTTTTCTAATAAATAATCTCCCTTGCCATCGGAATATACATATTTATATCAAACTATATTGTATAATGGAAACCCATTCCGCTCTACTGTGAAGATAATCTGCATTTATATCAACCAGTGTTTGGTCTGTGTTTGGTTTTGGGCTCAGGCGGTAAAAACACATAAAACCTCATAGGTGTATTATCAAATGTGTTTACATAGAGTAGGATTGCTGTTTAATCTACCTAAATTTATAATATCACGGTTCGTCGTGTTCTAAACGAATTCGTCTTTTGAAGCAAGCCATTTTACTGTTTTTAAAGAAACCTTCTACCATATGTTTCGTGCGACATGGCACGGGTTGTCAACAATTGACTTACCACAGATGTATAATGATGTGGTATTTAATTCAGTCTTGGTCGGGACGGTTAAACGCAACAAACTAAAGATCATGGAATATTCCTAGAAGTATAGAATAGTATCATATCTTACTAAATATAATATAATAAAGAGAAATCTTTTTGCCTCTCTTAGCATAGTCTCTATCACAAGCCTTTCGTCCGAATTAGCCCGGGGTGTCGAAATCTACTTGAACGTCACAGATATACCATCTCATGTGTTTACATCTATATAATCATCTGATATTTACGTAAACACTACTTTATAATGTCACAGTTCGTGGTATTTACTGCAAACACGTTACTCTAAGTAGAGGCGTTTTTCCCATACACTCAACAAGTATTTAGTCCAACCTATTACCGGCAGTCAAAATGAACCTTTACGTCACAGATGTACCGTAAAACATCAACATAATAGTCAGGTAAGTTAACTTATAAAGCAATATGAAATACTGCACATACCCAACGGTGATTGCGAAGAGTGTGTACTAAGTGAGTGACTGAGTGTAGGTTTACGCCGTTTTACACTATTTAGGCAATATCCCTACGGACCCATGTAAGGAATCGAACCCAGGTTTTCTGTGTGACGAGCGAAGGCTTCTATCACAAGGCTGCCTCGCCCCACAATGTGTAACACAGTCTGTCTCACAGTCTCTGAACAACAATATGTTCCCTATTGCCTAGCCCTCCCTGCAATGCTGAAGCTCTAAATGAAGCAAGCGTACATTTTCTCTGGTTCTGAATCTCCCATGTCATTGGGGCTGCTTTTCAATTTAAAGGGGTTTATTTGTTACTATCAAAATTATGTATATATATATATATATTATATTGGCATGAGTATATTATTGGCATGAGTATATATATATATATATATATATATATATATATACTCATGCCAATAATGGTTGTCACCCTCCCCACCCCAACCCCACATACACCCCCACCCCACACCCCTCTCCAATAAAGATAATTGCAGGGGTTGACAACCATTATTGGCATGAGTATATATATATTCAGAGACTAAAAGTTAGTCTAATGGTAACAAGAATCCAACTTCAGATGCTAACTATCTGGATAATGGAGCTAACTCGTTGACAAGCAAGAGAAAAGAGAAACATGTTTTGTGGCATCCTTAAACATCATAATCATATCCCCTATGTTAGCATCATAATCATATCCCCTATGTTAGCATCATAATCATATCCCCTATGTTAACACCATAATCATATTCCCTATGTTAACATCATCAGAGCCAGCGGTTATGAAATACCCACAGCACAAAACAAATCGGTTTTGGTGTAACAAAATGTATACCGATTCCACAAACACCAAGAATTGTAGATTCCAATACATATTACCATTTTCTATCACCGATTCCTCATTTAGCTGATGTTAACATGTCACTTTGTTATTGTTCATTTAAATTTAGAAATTCTAATTGAATATAAATGAATAAATTATGGAATATTTCTTAGCCATACACGTGTGAAGCGAAATGATATCCCGTCCTAGATACAGAACTGAATTTAGATACTCACTGAGTAAAATTTCTTGGTCTTACAGTCGAATGTGAAAATGGTTCCCCTGGATCGAGAACATGCTTTCCTCTCACAGCAAACATTGTCCTCGTGCCAAGGTGTCTGGGCTAGGATTGGTCTTTAGAAACCAATGCTTGTCAAGTGATGAATATAGGAACCCGGATGTAATGTACACTTTGATGTTGCATGTCATCGTATCCCAGAAGCGTAGATCGATGCTCGTCAATTATTGAATCATGTTCGATTACTAACAGGCAGGTAGCCGGAACACTGCCGAGTGGGACTTCTAACAACAAACCGTTGAAAGGTGTGTTCTCGATAATCATTTAATCATTAGAAGCAGAATCCTTTGGATAAATGCCAACGACGATGAAACACATTCTTAATATTTATATATATATATATAATTCAGAGACTAAAAGTTAGTCTTATGGTAACAAGAATCCAACTTCAGATGCTAACTATCTGGCAGATAGAGCTAACTCGTTGACAAGCAAGAGAAAAGAGAAACATGTTTTGTGGCTTCTTTTAACATCATAATCATATCCCCTATGTTAACATCATAATCATATCCCCTATGTTAACATCATAATCATATCCCCTTTGTTAACATCATAATGATATCCCCTATGTTAACATCATAACCATATCCCCTATGTTAACATCATAATCATATCCCCTATGTTAACATCATAATCATATCCCCTATGTTAACATCATAATCATATCCCCTATGTTAACATCATAATCATATCCCCTATGTTAACATCATAATCATATCCCCTATGTTAACATCATAATCATATTCCCTATGTTAACATCATCATATCAATCATCATAATGATAACCCCTATGTTAACATCATAATCATATCCCCTTTGTTAACATCATAATCATATCCCCTATGTTAACATCATAATCATATCCCCTATGTTAACATCATAATCATATCCCCTATGTTAACATCATAATGATATCCCAATGTTAACATCATAATGATATCCCCTATGTTAACATCATAATGATATCCCTATGTTAACATCATAATCATATCCCCTATGTTAACATCATAATGATATCCCCTATGTTAACATCATAGTCATATCCCCTATGTTAACATCATAATCATATCCCCTATGTTAACATCATAATCATATCCCCTATGTTAACATCATAATCATATCCCCTTTGTTAACATCATAATCATATTCCCTATGTTAACATCATAATCATATCCCCTATGTTAACATCATCAGAGCCAGCGGTTATGAAATACCCACAGCACAAAACAAATCGGTTTTGGTGTAAATGCCAACAACGATGAAACACATTCTTAATATTTTTCTAGATTAACAATATCTGCACTTACCGATGATGATTGGCTGTTATCGCTGTCTTATCGATCATAGATGCATGCAAGGAATGTCGTAACCATGCCAGGACACCTGTATGCGTCTAGACCGTTGAATACAGAACAGGCCTCCGGTTCACGTTTGTGAACACACATTTAACATTACCATCAGTTAAAACAAGCATGAAGTCCTACTGATAAATAATTTGTTTCAAATCGCCATTGCTGCGTGCTTGCGATCGAGTGAATTATCACATATTCACAGACCTACACTTATATACAGCCGATGTGTAGATATTACGACACATACCGCGTATTCTGTGATTCATGAGGCGACGAACTTGCAAAATACTAAGAACATCGTGTTTCATTTACCGTATGGACATTACGTATATACGTACCCCTAATCTCCTAGTCTCCCGGTAGCGAAGAATACGGCTGTCGAAGAACTGTTGGGTAATATCTCCGCCATTACGTTTCCTGGTCGATAACAGCGCCTGTGGATTTGTGTCAGTCTGCGACTGTTCCAGGCGGGCTCTAGTTCCAGGAACTGTTGCTGCTATCCATGTTTATGGTATTTATAGATTAACTCTGTTTATCCATCTTTCTCTGCGTGTGTTTGCCTCTCTGCTGAATTCAACTTGAGACTACCGGAAGTTCATTCCCGACGGCAAAGGAATTTGTGGCCGAAAATACTGCAACGTAATAGAAAACGAAGTCAGAGGTCATTGGATCGTTCGAGGGGAAGCTTCCATTGTATATATACATGTATTAATTGTGTAAAGTGTACGCACGATGCGAGGAGCAAGGTCGATTTGGATTGTTTTATCTTATAAATATCGGATGAGTACGGATGAAAGCTCGTTTACATTTCACAGCTTATTGCATGCAATTATCGCATGCCAGACATATCGACGCGAGAAGCTTGGTCGGACGTTTCAGTCGTGTAATTGTTTGTTTGTCTCATATAATAATTCTACCGCTGGTAAGATGACCCAGATATTTGCAATTGAACTGTGATTCACACGGGCTTAGCCCAGAGGATAAAGCGTTCCCTTGTCACGCGAGAGACCCGTGTTCGATTTTCTCGACCCGTGAAGATAGATACGGGTAGATCGAGACTCATGCTGTTGATCACTGGATTGTCTGGTCCAGACTCAGTTATGTACAGACTGCCACCATATAGCTGGAATACTGCTGAGTGCGGCGTAAAAAACTCACTCACGTTCTGTACTATTTTAACCTTTCGTAGGACAGGATGTAACCTCAGTCTTTTCTGACTGCATCCCTGGTCCAGTGGACATAGCGTCTGCTCAGAAAACGGAAGGACAGAGGTTCGAACCTCACATTCTACCCAGATAAGTCCCACTTGAACTCAAATTGCCCCGGGCTTTGTGGGTAGCCTAGAGGAGTATCACGCCTAAGACCTGCATTTGATTTTCCAGATTTGTCCATCGCCGGAGACCGCCTCCGTGGTGTAGTGGCTAGAGCGTCCGCCCGGAGAGCGGAAGGTCGCGGGTTCGATCCCCGGCCGCGTCATACCAAAAGACGTTAATGTATGGTACTTGTTGGTCCCTGCCTGGCGCTCGGCATTAATGGGTACAACAAGGACTGGTAGGTTCGTAGTATAATGTGTCTGAGTGGGGTATTCATGCTTAACTGCGGCATGGTATCTCAGTGGGCTAGCATCTATAAAACCAGCTTAAGTCTGGGCTAGTACAAGCAATGTAGACATTTTTTTATGGATAACAACTTCTTTATTTCGTGAGTGCGACGTTTCGATACATATTCTTGTACCGTTGTCAAGCAAGACAAAAATGCTCTAAAATGCCACTAAAACAAGTTAGTACAAGCAGCCACACATACACACGCATGCACGTGGTCATATGCGACGTTAAAACCCATTTCTCACTTCATCTCACCTCACCAAGGTGGGAAGCTGAGATTGTACCAGAAATGGGTTTCACACATTGTGCCCATGTGGGAAATCGAACCCGTGACTTCGGCTCGGATATTTGATACTTTATCAACTCGTGGTGATATATTTGATATCAAAAGACACTCGGGTGAGATTATACAATTATATACTCTCTTGTAGAGGTCGATATCGGTTTTTATTGACCTGAGTAAAACAATATCGACCGAGCTTGCGAGGTCGATATTGTTTTTCTCAGGTCAATAAAAACCGATATCGACCTCTACAAGAGTCTATAATTGTTTTATTATATAATGAAAGAGAAACGGGTTTTAACATAAACTTTTAATGCACATACTGTGTCATCTATCCGAGTGATCTGATTGGCTGAAAAGCGGGGGAAGCCCCTTCGTACGGGATTCCTTGTCTATTTTTAGTAACCCAAGTCAATATCGTAATTTATCAGAAAACTCAAGTCAATATCGTGTTTTGTAGTCAATCATGTGACGGTCTTTTGACCAATCGTGGTACAGGAAAAATGCTACCTATATACATGTAATAATCTCTATTTCTAAGATGCTTCGGTGACACATCAAAGGCGCCGACAGTACTTTATCAGACGATAATATGCACTTTTTGCATTACGTCACAATGTATTGGCGTCACTGCGCCATTCTAGTCTGCCCCCTTGTAATCGAATCATTTTACATTACGTCACAATGTAACCGACGTCACGATGCATGTCAGTTGTCATCGCCTCGTACGGCCTCCTACAGTAAACTACTCCGTTGCATCCCGTTTCTTGGTTTGCAGTTGCTTCGCGCAGCTAACCTCACTGGTGGAAACATTACGTTTATGTTTTACGACGGTTAAAATGTCTCAATTCGACTCACAAGTTTTCAGCGACACGGTAACGTTCGCAATGTTTACATTCCCACAATGCAATCGTGGAATGTCGCTTGACAGGGGTGTCAGGGGTTCAAACTGTTATTATTTGTTGTTTTTCTGGTAACGTTCGTCTTAACGTAAGGGGGTAGACACATCAATAGAACAGCGCGTCAGTTAGCCCTGTGCGAGGATTCTTAATTTAGGTCACCGACACCGTCGTTTGTTTTCTGCATTAAGTTAATCGTAATTATCCTTAGAAAGTATTAAATTTGGCATCTTGCGTCCTCGTACTTTAACTATAATAGTTCAGGGCGAAAGTGTGCTTTATTTCACTATACATGGTGGTAGAGCGAACTGTATTTCTTAAGTCACAATGTTAGATACCTCGGTCATTTTTTTTATTTTATTCTTTAATGCACGATACTGTATTAATAAATGAAATGTAAGAAAGAAGAATAATAAAACCCTTCCTCGATAATCTCCAAGGTATACCTTACGATCACTCTCCACTATACCCTGGATGCATCCACGACCTTCACGACTGCGACTGCTATGTTGACACTGGCAAAGCTCGGATGTAACGGCGGCTTAGCTGATTGGCTAATGTGAGAATGCGGAGCCAGCAAAGGGAGGTAATATAATTATCGGGCCAAGCCGTGGATGCATCCAGGGTATAGTGGAGAGTCATCGTAACGTATACCATGGAGATTATCGAGGATGAATAAAACCTAGCACTTGGCTTTCTGATTAATTTGCACCTTTCCTCTACCTGCAGCCTTTACCCCAGCAGTGACACAGGGGGGCAGCAACTGAAGGAACAGTCTGTAGAGCGAGTTCGAGTCGGCAGAGAAAAAATATGATTTTTCCTTATCGGATTGGTGTCCAATTTACAGTCGGGGGATGAAGAACACAGCAATAAAAAATGTTGCCCTTACATAAATTAGATCACCATCTAAAAAAAATTTTCTTGTTTGTTTCAGTTTTGCTGCCATCAAACGTTGGTGCATTATTTCTTGTCACGGTTGTTGTTAGGGGATTCTTCGCGTATGTCATATAACACAATACGCGTCCGCCCGGAGAGCGGAAGGTCGCAGGTTCGATCCCCGACCGCGTCATACCAAAAGACGTTAAAATATGGTACTTGTTGGTCCCTGCCTGGCGCTCGGCATTAATGGGGTACAACAAGGACTGGTCGGCTCGGAGTCGGTATAATGTGTCTGGGTGGGGTATTCATGCTTCACTGCGGCATGGTATCTCAGTGGGCTAGCACTATAAAACCAGCTTAAGTCTGGGCTAGTACAAGCAGCCGCACCTACACATACACACGCATGCACGTCGTCATATGAGCGAAATATTCTCAAGCACGACGTTAAACCCAATTTCACCTCACCTCACCTATGACACAATACAGTCATTTGTCCGGATTATAAAGCAGTCTGGATTAGTCAACTTTTGACTACAGTTAATTACCGTTAATTACCGACAGATACTACTGTATGTGTGTTAGGGAGTACCGCGCCATTCAGTTCAAGGATGATGACAGGCGTGGCCAGCTTTACTATCGTCGGAACACTGCGGGTCAAATATCACTGAACCTTCAGCTCTCTGATACCATATGTTATAAACCTACTGACGCTGATAAGTGGATGAACTTAGCTATATGTCACCGACGCTGGATGTAAATGTCTCCTTAAATACCCTCATAAGTATCACAAGACCGTCATAAAGGAATCTGGGGCGGTGGGGTAGCCTAGTGGTTAAAGCGGTCGCTCGTCACGCCGAAGTCCAGATTTCGATTCCCACATGGGTACAATGTGTGAAGCCCTTTCTGGTGTCCCCCGTCGTGATATTGCTGGAATATTGCTAAAAGTGGAGTAAAACAGTACTCACTCATACAAGAAGAGGTGTTTGGTGGTGATTTTAAGGGGGGATCATCCAATTAGTTCTGGGGATGTTGGGGGAAAGTGGGTGGTCAGCAGTACTGTACATGTAGATGTTAAAAAAATAGTTTTAATAATTATTGGAAGGGGTAGAGTGGGGTTCACAGACCTTGTACATGACTCACGGGAGTGGGGTTCACTCACCTTATGCATAAACTTGGGCGGTGGCCTCCACCTCGCTTACTCTTAGACCTGAGGCCAACCTTAGACCACCTGAGGTCAACCTGTCACTGACCGGGGACCGGTCTTACATCAGTGATAAGAATACACCCCAACCTGAAGTAGCCGTAAAGTAAACAGCATATACAGGCTACATACGTTGCTAAATATAGACTACCACCACGACTTGTGCGCCATATACGTATCAAATGTCGTGTACATTTCCAAACACCCGAGACAAAACATTCTCGACCTTCACCTTCGATCCAATGTCAATCAACAAATCGTTGCCATAGCTTTATTGACCTTTGACCCAGTTTCTCGTACCTCGCCGACATCAAGGCTGAAGTCTTGCTGATAACCCGTTTTCGGGTGTCGCATCATGAAATATTCCAGTATATATATATCTAAATATATATTGGACGCCCATGTTATTTCACAACCATCAAATGCATGGATTAAGCAAGACTGAACATGACTCAGTGACAGTTACAATAGACTGTGCAGGTAACTGAAGCGGATAAATATATAGCCATTATTGGACTGCAGCAAACACGATCGACGGCGCATAGTGTGTGATGTAGGGATGTTTCGCTTGTCAGAGCAGTTCTACGTACAGATATAGGTTTATCTCTGAAGGTAAGAGAAGGGTAAGACCTACAGGGTACTAAATGATGTGGGGTCGGGTGGTGGCTTAAGATCAAAGGTGGTGGGGCGTGGCGGAGAGGGGAGAGGGGGTGAGGTGGTAGGAGGGGGTGAGGAAGGGTAGACAGGGGTGAAGAAGGGGTGGGTGAGACTGCATGGGGAGGAAGGGTGGGGAGACAGGAGGGTAGTTAGGAAGGGGAAACAGGGGGTGAGGGTGGGGTGGGGGTGACGAAGGGGTGGGAGGGACGAGGTGGAGGTATGAGGAAGGGAGAAGGATGGGTGAGACTGGGTGGGTGGGTGAGGACGGGGTGGAGGAATGAGGAAGGGTGGGTGAGGAAGGGGCTGGGGAGGGATGGGATGGAGGAAGGGGGAGACAGGGAGAGGGTGAGACTGGATGGGTGGGTGAGGAAGGGGTGGGAGGGACGGGGTGGAAGAATGAGGAAGGGGAGACACGGGTGGGTGAGACTGGGTGGGTGGGTGAGGAGGGGTGGGGAACGGGATGAGAGAAGAGGAAGGGGCCGCATCAGCAATCTTCCAGCTATTTGCGGCGAGTGGTCCAAGTGAAGACTCAAGCATTGCAGAGCATATCGTAAAAAGATGGCATAAGGGAATCTGCTTATATGTCTGAATATTGATAAAAATGGTATCATAATCGGAAAACATCTTGCAAATTTTACCATCTTGCAGAAACCACGTTTAGTAAGAACCATTCACTTATACGAACCTACTTCCACAGACACCCTTCTCTCACTTTCATAACCCGTTTACATAGAGGTTTCCCTATAGAACGGGTGAGTGAGTTAGTTTTACGCCGCTTTTAGCAATATTCCAGCTATATCGCGGCGGGGGACACCAGAAATGGGCTTCACACATTGTGGGGAATCGAACGATGGCCTCAGCATGACGAGCGAACGCTTTAACATTTCCCCATTGTCCCTCTGTCAACAAACGTGACAGCTGATCGCTTTACATTATGTGATATGAATAGGGCCTCTACTCACGACATTGTGTACTTGTATGCTTACCCCACTAAAGGTTCTGTGTTATAACCCCATCCCATTATATATATATAATATTATACAATTATAGACTCTTGTAGAGGTCGATATCGGTTTTATTGGTCTGAATAAAACAATATTTATTGAGCTGAGTAAAATATTGTTTTTCTCAGGTCAATAAAAACGATATCGACCTCTACAAGAGTCTATAATTGTTATATTATATAATGAAAGAGAAACGGGTTTTAACATAAACTTTTAATGCACACACTGTGCCATCTATCCGAGTGATCTGATTGGCTGAAAAGCGGGGGAAGCCCCTTCGTACGGGATTCCTTGTCTATTTTTAGTAACCCAAGTCAATATCGTAATTTATCAGAAAACTCAAGTCAATATCGTGTTTTGTAGTCAATCATGTGACGGTCTTTTGACCAATCGTGGTACAGGAAAAATACTACCTGTATAATAAATATATTTATTACTTACGAGGGCGAACATATCGGTGTTCATATTTTTCCTACGATGAACTAGGGCAAAATATCATTTTGTCATGGTGACGTGACGTCATGAACAAGGCTATGACGGCACGTTTCTTCTGTGACTTTGCATTCTACATGCGGCGACGGCGGGTAGCCAGCCTTTGTTTGAAAGTAGATTTGGTTGTTTTTTCCTCAATTTGACGACTTCGGTAATAAACAGAATATTATATTCGTGCCCATATCATACTAGCAGAGTTTGCGTTTCTTTTGACACTCTCCTCAAATGACAGGGCTCGTGCCTAAATATCGGTATATCCCTCGCCCTCGCTCGGGAAATACCAACATTAAGGCACTCGTGTCGTAAACAAAGTATGACATGGGCACTCATATAATATCCTCTATATATGTCCTGTTTACCGTACGAAACTATGGAATCCTACATGTGTTAAAATAAACCATAGTGCGACACTGCGACAACGCGACATTTTGGCCATTTGTCGCAATGTGGCACTTTGAATAATATTTTTTATTCATCCAAAGGGCGACAATGCGACATAGCGAAAATGTTGAAGGTAAAAATATGTTCCGTTGTCGCCCGATCTAAGATGTGTAAAAAAAGCCTTAAAATGCGCGACAACGCGACAATGTGACATAATCACTTTAGTTGATTTTGGCACTTTTTTTTTAGGGCGACAACGCGACAATGTCCCTTAAAGGATTCCATACGAAACAAACATTCCATACTTCTCTACGTATTTATAACTCAGAACTGCTCAATCAGGTTCTCCAGCTGTGGTTGGTGTAAGATCTATTTCTGTTTGAGTTGATAAAAACAAATCTATCTATTGCCTAACTGTCTAAACGATTGATAAGCGTGTTGAGTATTTGTCGTTACTCCCGTTTCCAAAATCATACACTAACTTCATGTTCACACTTCTTTTACAAGCATACTTTAGCCGCGCTGTATGTCAGACTTTATCCCGAAGATTCTAAAATATAGTTCTATTATGCGGCCGAGAATGAGTGAGTTTAGTTTTACACCGCACTCAGCAATATTCCAGCTATATGGCGGCGGTCTGTAAATAATCGAGTCTGGACCACACAATCCAGTGATCAACAACATGAACATCGATCTACGCATTTGGGAACCGATGACATGTGTCAACCAAATCAGCGAGCCTGACCACCCGATCCCGTTAGGTGCCTCTTACTACAAACATGGGTTACTGAAGGTCAATTCTAACCCGGATCTTCACGGGATCACCCGGATCTTCACGGGATCACCCGGATCTTCACGGGATCACCCGGGTCCTCCTGGTATCAAGAACACAGCAAACAAGAACTGAGCTGAAACATGCTCAACTTCCTCCAGGTGTCCTATCCTGCGTTGTCTTTCCATAGCTGGGGCGGTGGGGTAGTCCAGTGGTTAAAGCGTTTGATCGTCACGTCGAGACCCAGGTTCGATTCCCACATGAGTACAAATTGTGGAACCCATTTCTGGCGTCCCCGGTCGTGATATTGCTGGAATATTGCTAAAAGCGACGTAAAACTAAACCCACTTACTCTCTCAATTTCCATAGCTACATTGGCGTTGCCTAGTCGTTTGCTCGTCACGTTGAAGGCGCGAGTTCGATTCTCAAAAGGGTAGTGTGTGAAGCCCATTTATGGAATATTTGTGATATTGCTAGAATATTAATAAAAGGCGGTGCAAGACGCGCTCATCTTATCACAATACTAAGCAGATAATGCTGCCACTATTATGTTATGTTTACAGAGACAACATGGCCAATCCATTGAAACTCAACACATATGCAGCAAGTCAACAGGCTCAGTCAGGCAGCTCTACTGATACTCCTCCCTCCCCATTTACTAAGAGTATAGACGATAGGTTTCTAACATGTCCGATTTGTTACGAGATGTACAGTCAGCCCAGATGCCTGCCGTGTCTCCACAGCTACTGCCATCATTGTCTAGACTCCTACATACGATCCCAGGAACCTTCTCAAATGCGGAGGAAGAAGGGCTTTCCTTGTCCAATGTGCAAACAGTTTCACTTTGTGAAAAAATGGGTGAAGCCTTTAGACGAATGGGTTGAAGAGTTTCAGAAGAACTTCCTTATTCAGAATATGATCGACTGCCTTCATCCTAAGACGAAACCAAACACCCCTACTCCATTGGCCGGAATCAGACCTTCAGTAGAGGCTGTTCAGCCGTACACCCCAACGGTTCCTCAAAGACCATCTCCTTCAGCTCCACCACTGTCGGAGTATGACCCACCAACTGAGCAGGGCAGTTACAGCTCACCGTTTGGTCAAAGCAACAGCTCATCCGGTTATTTAGCACACCAAGGTGAAGGTCTCCGTCCGTCCACTAGTGTTTTTGATGTATCAGCCTTGCATACCGTCTCCGGGAATCCCATGAACGCAAGGAGCTCCAGTTCGAATGACTTAACCAGGGGCGAGGAACCTGTTTTATATGTAGATGCATTCACAATGCTGAGAGTGGACACCTACACGAGACTCTATGATAATAGCAGCTTCTCAGATGTATGTTTTCTTCCCAAAGCAAAAACTATCGTTTTGACGGACTACAACAATAATTCAGTTGTACTTTTCAGCAGTTATTTCATAGGCAATAGAGACTCCACCAAGGTCAAGGTTAAAGGCAGACCATGCTCTGTTGCCCTGTTGAATGAAACAGAAGACTGTATCGTAGTCAATCTCCAGCATAAGTGTCAAATATTCTTCATTTCGATCCCTGGATTAAGCATCCTGAAAGTCTTAAAGACTCAGCGTAACTATGAGAGTGTCTCGATGTCGGCACCCAACACTCTTCTAACAGGAACTTCAGCAGAACCAGCTAGAATAGATCAGATTGAGATTGAACATGTTTTCTTGGACGTGTTATCCCACAAGTTTCTGGTTACAAAGGACAGGCTTTGCAGGACGATCTTAAGACCAAATCACATTTGTGCCTTAACGGAAGACACGTTCGTGGTCTCAGATTCAGCAAAAAAGAGCCTGATCGGATTTCATATAGAAACAGAGTATGGAACAAAAGTCGGCAAGAAATTCTTCTCCCTCGCACCAACACGTGACCGGAAGTTTCGGAGTCTTGGTGGGATGTGCTGTAACGTTGGTGCCGGCAGCTTCTACGTGGTTGACTACGGTGGCAATGCGGTGTATCAGATATTTCCCGGGGACACAATAATATGTGAAAAGGTCCTTTGTCAGAGCCATGGAATTAAAAAACCATCCTCGGTGTGCTTAGGCCCAAATGGTGCCCTGTGTGTGGTTGACTGGGAAGGGGGTATCTCCTTGTTCAGACAAAGGCCCCGTGAGACCTCGGCGTAAGTCAACTGCTATGTCTCGTCACCTATACTTCCGGTACGGACATGCTTACCGTTTTCACGAACACCTGGTGTCATCACAGATTTTCAGTGATCCATGCATATCATTACCACTGCTATTTTGCTTTTTACGCACAGTGCAATATGTTTCGGCAAATTATTGAAACTAATTGTTGTCCGACGTTGCCGTTCATACTATTGTCCTATATGAAGCAAGTCAAGATTTCCTGAATGAGGGGCGCGGTGGGGTAGCCTAGTGGTTTAAGCGTTCGCTCGTCACGCCGAAGACCAGGGTTCGATTCCCCACATGGGTACAATGTGTGGAACCCATTTCTGGTGTCTCCCGCTGTGATATTAATTAAATTAAATGTAGTTGTTTGCTTTTAGCAACCTCATATTTTTGCATATTTCAGAGACTTAGCTTTAGTCTCGTGAAAGACCTGATTGGTTGCACAGTCTTTCATAAATTAGCCTCCATGGGTATGTTGTACTACATAATTCGTTATTAAAACCTCTCATGGTACAACAGGTTTTGTTTTTATTAAGGGTATTTCAGTGAATTCCTATGTGATACTGAATGTTGTTTCCAAACATCTTCTCTGAGAAAGTAGCCATTCCATTGCGTTCTTGGTGATATGCCTTGTCAAAGGTTGTTGATGGATGTGTGACCTTCACGCAAGGCGGCTGGATAGCTGCACCTAAACAACTGTAGTTGGTTGGCTGGTTTGTTGTTTAACGCCGCAGCTATATGGACGGTCTGTAGATAATCGAGTCTCCAGTGATCAGCATCATGAGCATCGATCTACACAATTGGGATATGATGACATGTGTCAACCAAGTCAGCGAGGCTGACCACCCGATCCTGTTAGTCGCCTCTTATGACAAATCTAACCCGGATCTTCACGGGAACTGTCGAAGTGTGGCATATGGTGTGGTAAGGGTATATTTGGTAAATGCCCAGAAGATAGATCCTTGTAGATGTGCAACCGTTGAACTGCTTTGATCAGTAGTCCATAGTTGGAACACTAGACGCCAGCTTGTGTGTTTGTGTGTTGTCAATCACCGGATTGTCTGGTCCAGAATCAGGTATTTACAGACCACCGTCATAGAGCTGGACAATTGCGTTAAACAACAATTTGTTTGTTTGTTGTTTAACGCCGCACTCACAGTAATATTCCAGTTATAAGGCAAAGGTATGTAAATAATCCAGTGATCAACAGCATGAGCATCGATCGATACGATGACACGTGTCAACCGAGTCAGCGAGCCTGACCGCCTGATCCCATTAGTCGCCTCTTACAACAAGCAATGCTGGGATACGATGACATGTGTCAACCAAGTCAGCGAGCCTGACCACCTGATCCAATTAGTCGCCTCTCAAAACAAGCAATACTGGGATACGATGACATGTGTCAACCAAGTCAGCGAGCCTGACAACCTGATCCCACTAGTCGCTTCTTCCCACTAGTCGGCTTCTTATGAACATGCCTACTTGACATTGCAGTAACAAGAGAGCACCCCTAAAGGTATCAGTTTACCAACCGCGAGCACAACCGTGGTGCTGACAAACATAGAGACATAATAAAGGCTGGATTCGAACCCACAATCACCTGTTTCTGGCACAGCTGAGAGGCAGACCTCGGCCCTGCTCAGCCATAGAGTAAGGTGTCACACATGTCCTCAAAATGATTTAGAGCTACTGAATGAATTGGGCGGTGGGGTAGCCTAGTGGTTAAAGCGTTTGAGCGTCACGCCGAAGACCCGGGTTCGATTCCAACAGTGTGTACAATGTGTGAAGCCCATTTCTGGTGTCCCTCGCCATGATATTGCTGGAATATTGCCAAAGGCGGCGTAAAACTAAACTCACTCACTACTAAATGAATTAAGCTTTGACAAGACAAACTAGTGATTTTGTCTGGACTAACATCGCTGGTAGAAACATTACGTTTATGCTTTTCGACGGATATAATGTCTCAGGTCGACTCACATATTAAACAGCGACGCGACAACGTTCACAGTGTTTTCATTCCCACAATGCATCCGTGGAATGCCTCCTGTCTAGTCAGTTTCATCTGGATGTACTGATCTAAACTTACGTTGGTGGTACGTAGTAGAAATGCGACGGCCATATTGCCCTACATAGTTTACGTTTATCACAGATGTAATTAAAATAATTTAGAGAAGAAATTTAACCCGAATGTAAACCGTCAACAAACTGTTTATCCTTTATTTTCTGGTAAAGTGCACCTTAACGTACAAGACGCGTCAACAGAACCGACCGTCAGTAAGCCCTAAACGAGGATTGTTAATTTCGGTTGTTTTCTGCCTTCGACTTTTCGTCGGGAAGTATTAAATTTGGCAACTATTTAACTATAAAAGTTCATGGCGAAAGTGTGCTTTATTACACTATATATGGTGGTAGAGCGATCTGTATTTCTTAATTCCAGACCCATGAAGTTCCGGGGTAGAATAAGTCTTCAGCAACCCATGCTTGCCACAATAGGCGACTATGCTTGTCGTAAGAGGCGACTAACGGGATCGGGTGGTCAGGCTCGCTGACTTGGTTGACACATGTCATCGGTTCCCGATTGCGCAGATCGATGCTCATGCTGTTGATCACTTGATTGTCTGGTCCAGACTCGATTATTAACAGGCCCCCGCCATATAGCTGGAATATTGCAGAGTGCGGCGTAAAACTAAACACACTCACTCTTAGTTCTAAGATGCTTCGTTCAAAGATCAAAGGTGCCGACAGTACTATATCAGGCGATAACACTGTATTGACGTCACTACGCCATTCTCGTCTGCCCCTTCTTTATCAAACGTACCCTTGGTAACCGACGTCATACGCATAGTCATAAGAGGTGAATATGTTTGTTGTAAGGGGTGTACGTATTAGTTGTAAGTTGTTTACGAAATACAGTTCGCTCTACAAACATAATTTTGCACGAGTTTCGTATAAGTCATGACACACTTGCTCGAGAGTAATAATTTCTTTATCATTCATTTTATTCATGTACATTTGTGCAGTAAAACACAGTAAGAAAGTGTGACGGCCCACTTCATTGACGTCACTTTCAATTGTTTAATACCGTCATATTACACTGGTTATGTTTCACCATATGTGTAATAAAGTGGTCTAACGTTATAATTCAGGACAAAAGTGTACTTTATAACACTATATATGGGGGGCAGCGCGAACTGTATTTCTTAAATATATTCACCTCGTACAACTAATATGTACACCTCTTACAACAAATATATATATTCACGTGTTATGACTAATACATTCCAAATATATCCATCTGTTACGAAATAATATATTCAACTCTTACAACTAGTATACTCACGTCTTATGACTAATATGTTCACTAATATATGTACCTCTTACAACTGATATATTCGCCTCTGACGACAAGCAATGGAAGTCTGGGAAAATGTTCTACCATGGCCCAGAAACCTATATTTGAAATATTTGTTTTTTCTTCTTCTCCTCATACTCCTGGGTAAACCTGTAGCTAGAAACTCAAAATAATATATCCCTTGTAACATTTTTTTGCATTGCTGGAATCAATAGTAATACATATTACAGTGGGAAGACATTCTTTTCCAAACAAATAATCATATCAGATCCTGAGTGTATACAGCGCAAACTTGGGATTCAAAGGCATGAAATCCTGTCGTAACTAAGGGCCACAACTCTTATCAGTGACTTGTAATGCCTTAGATGACTGGATTGCCTGTAAGGAATGAGGACAGTGTCAGCTTACCAAAGTACAAACATTTCCATTTCTTCAAAGATTTCGGTTTCTGGTTGTCCACTGGAATATTTTCCACTTCAGAGACGAAGTAATAACAAGGACACTTTTTATAGAATAGAATTTCTTTATTTACCTTTTCATGGTGTATATGTAGCACTTGCATGGTGTAAAGAGTAGCACTGTAAGGGCAGCGTTTATATTTTCTGTGTTTCTCATCGCCAGAATGACCCTTCTAATTTTATTGCCGACCCCCCCACAAAAAACTTCTTTTTTTTTTTCATTCACACACTGCAGACTCGAACCTAAAACCTACCGCCTCATCATATAAAATGTGTATCTTTTAATCAGTAGCTGCCACAAGTTTAAAGAATGTGAGAATGTGTAAAATGTACAATAAACGAGAATCAAGAACATTATTCAGATAATTTTGTCTTTATTAACTTTTTTTGTTTTTTGCTTTTTCACGACTGACTGACCGACCAATGTTCGGAATTTGGTGGCTATGTGAAACACATAAAAAAAATGACACCCTCGGTAGATGTACTAATGCAGATTGTTACATTATAAAAAGACTGACTACTTTTTTCTGACTACTTCTAAATGGATATGCACAGTCTTTTTCATTTTCCAGGTAGAGAACACCAGAGGACATAAATATTAACCAGTTTCACATATTTTCAACCTATATAGAAATCAAAACTACAAAACAGTTGTAAATCTGTCAATGACAATGGGCTCATATTTGTTCATTTTAAAACAACAAAGTCTTTATAACTCAAACAGGTTGATTTGGGTTGACATCCAAACTGTTGAGCAAATATATACAACCATTATGGCTGACACAAGGTCTTCCAGATTGACAGTCATATGGGCTTGTACAGGATCATCTGGATGGTCAAGTGGTCATGATATACATAAGGTCATTTGGAATTATGCATAACATAACAAAACATAACATAGGAAATTGGGCTTATACAGAGTCATCTAGTCTGACAAGTGTCATTGTTTGATCCACATTCTGGAAGTAATACAACATTATGAATAATAACTTCCTGTTTATTGCATAGGGCAATGTTTAGACTGACAAAGGTCATGGAGGCCTATACAGTGTCATCTGGACTGACAAAGGTCATTTGCCCGTACAGAGTCATCTAGACTGACAAAGGTCATCTGCCCATACAGAGTCATCTGGACTGACAAAGGTCATGGTGACCTATACAGAGTCATCTAGACTGACAAAGGTCATCTGCCCATACAGAGTCATCTAGACTGACAAAGGTCATCTGCCCGTACAGAGTCATCTGGACTGACAAAGGTCATGACCTCTACAGAGTCACTGATGCTGACAAAGGTGATATGCCCATACAGAGTCATTCAGATTGACAAAGGTGATGTGCCCATACAGAGTGATATAGACTGACAAAGGTCATGGTGACCTATACAGAGTCAACTAGATTGACAAAGGTCATGGTCATCTTTAAAAGAGAAATCTTAGCTAAGGGTCATGGTGGCTTGTAGTGTTGCTGACTGACAAATGTCAGACTCATAGAGGTTTATACAGGGTGATGTAGGATTATACTGTGTCTTCAGGACTGGCACTGATTATAATGGCTTATACAGGAAATCAAATAGCCGTAAACGGGATTAAATTGGCTAACAAAATATCATTTGAGCTTGTAGAGATCACTAGTCTCATTCAACCATGTAGTTGAAAAGGCAAACAAACTCCAAAGTCACGCATGCTAGTCATACAAAATCAGCTAATATGGATTAAACATAGCACAATATAAAAACAAGACACAGTAAAAGAAATCTGAAGTAATACTAATACCCATTCATAGCATGAAAACATGTCACTTGTGGGTCGTAAGGCAAGTTAGAAAATAAAAACTGCAGACACTTGAGCTTGTTGGGTCTGCATGACAGGAAAGTTATCAACATGATACAGATTCGGTTTCTCTTGTGACACAAAGTGGTTGCATAACATGAAATACAGTGTAACATGTACAAGGTATTGCTACATACAAGGCTAAAATACGGGGAACTTCCTACTAAACATACAACATGTATTTGTACAACTACTCATAAGTCACAAGGTCCATCCTTGTACAATGACTTGACAAAACCGTCCACAACAGCGCTTGTTTTAATCCAGGGGAGTGTTCAGTTTGGACAGACTGTACTGGTGTTGGTTTGCACTAATCACAGATTCACACTACACATGAGTGTACATTTTGCACAAGGGTAGACTTTAGTCCAGATATATGTTTGCACAGAGAATACCCATAATTTGTAGGATAAATAGTTGCCCAGTTCATGATCTATAACCCTTAAGGGTGTTTAGTTTGCACCGACCAAAAACTAAAACCCAGAAGGGTGTCCAGTTTGCATAGTTTCAAGAACTATACTCCACAAGGGTGTTCGGTTTGCAGTTTGAAGACCTATACTCCACAAGGGTGTCCGGTTTGCAGTTTCAAGAACTATACTCCACAAGGGTGTCCAGTTTGCAGTTTCAAGCACTATACTCCACAAGGGTGTCTGGTTTGTAGTTTCAAGACCTATACTCCACAAGCGTGTCAAGTTCGCAGTTTCAAGAACTATATTCCACAAGGGTGTCCAGTTTGCAGTTTCAAGACCTATATTCCACAAGGGTGTCCAGTTTGCAGTTTCAAGACCTATATTCAACAAGGGTGTCCAGTTTGCAGTTTCAAGACCCTATACTCCACAAGAGTGTCAAATTTGCAGTTTCAAGAACTATATTCCACAAGGGTGTCCAGTTTGCAGTTTCAAGACCTATACTCCACAAGGGTGTCCGGTTTGCAGTTTCAAGAACTATACTCCACAAGGGTGTCTGGTTTGCAGTTTCAAGAACTATATTCCACAAGGGTGTCCAGTTTGCAGTTTCAAGAACTATATTCCACAAGGGTGTCCAGTTTGCAGTTTCAAGAACTATATTCCACAAGGGTGTCCAGTTTGCAGTTTCAAGAACTATACTCCACAAGGGTGTTCGGTTTGCAGTTTGAAGACCTATACTCCACAAGGGTGTCCGGTTTGCAGTTTCAAGAACTATACTCCACAAGGGTGTCCAGTTTGCAGTTTCAAGCACTATACTCCACAAGGGTGTCTGGTTTGTAGTTTCAAGACCTATACTCCACAAGGGTGTCAAGTTCGCAGTTTCAAGAACTATATTCCACAAGGGTGTCCAGTTTGCAGTTTCAAAACCTATACTCAACAAGGGTGTCCAGTTTGCAGTTTCAAGACCTATACTCCACAAGAGTGTCCAGTTTGCAGTTTCAAGAACTATATTCCACAAGGGTGTCCAGTTTGCAGTTTCAAGACCTATACTCAACAAGGGTGTCCAGTTTGCAGTTTCAAGACCTATACTCCACAAGGGTGTCCAGTTTGCAGTTTCAAGAACTATATTCCACAAGGGTGTCTAGTTTGCAGTTTCAAGAACTATATTCCACAAGGGTGTCCAGTTTGCAGTTTCAAGAACTATATTCCACAAGGGTGTCCAGTTTGCAGTTTCAAGACCTATACTCCACAAGGGTGTCCAGTTTGCAGTTTCAAGAACTATACTCCACAAGGGTGTCTGGTTTGCAGTTTCAAGACCTATACTCCACAAGGGTGTCCAGTTTGCAGTTTCAAGAACTATATTCCACAAGGGTGTCCAGTTTGCAGTTTCAAGAACTATATTCCACAAGGGTGTCCAGTTTGCAGTTTCAAGACCTATACTCCACAAGGGTGTCCGGTTTGTAGTTTCAAGACCTATACTCCACAAGGGTGTCCAGTTTGCAGTTTCAAGAACTATATTCCACAAGGGTGTCCATTCTGCATAATCCAAACTATAATCAACAAGGGCGTCCAGTTCACACACATCATAAACTATAACTCCCTTCCACCTGCTGAACACAAGTCTACCACACAATAGGTAATCACAATTTCTTGAGTATTTGCTGGGACTGCCTGTTATTCCAAGCTAAGTCCCTTTTAAAACAGCAATATATATATATATAATAAAACACAAACAAAACAGGTCCTATAAATACTAATAACAAAAACCTGAAGGCAAAAGAAAGAAATTCGACATTGTCTCTATATCACAGTTGTCGTGAATCTAGTGATCATTATTACATTATATTACAAATGTATATATATATATTACAAATGTATATATACATATTACAAAACAAGACCCTAAATGGTAGAGTCCCTGCGCTACAGCACTGACACTATCAGCTCAGCCAATATTGAAGCTGTCACCCTGGCTAGTCGGGCAAGTGAGGTTTTCTGTGTCGGAAATAAGAACGGAATCCAATGTAGCCCACATAATATATATCTTCACAAGATACTAAACATACACCACAAACCACTGGGGGATTAATATAGGCCATAAATAATATATTATGCACAGGATGTCATATATCATAGGACCCATGAAGATCCGGGTTAGAATTGACCTTCAGTAACCCATGCTTGTAGTAAGAGGCACCTAACAGAATCGGGTGGTCAGGCTTACTGACTTGGTTGACACATGTCATCTCATCCCAATTGTGTAGATCTATGCTCATGATGTTGATCACTGGATTGTCTGGTCCAGACTCGATTATTTACTGACCGCTGCTATATACCTCGAATATTGGTGCACGCGGCTTTAAACACCAAACAAACCAACCAATCATTTATCACACTCCACAGACAGCCAATATAGGTCATGTGATCTGACTCACAAAAGAAAGTGTACATCTCAAACTTGGACAATAAATAACAAACATTACAAGGCTGGAGCCTGTTGTCAAAACAATGAAAACATAATGCCCAGAACACCACTTGTATCTTCATTAATGGCCATTACTGCTAAGCAACAATTTGTGCATGGATGGAGCCGGGTTATTCACTTTAAATGTACATGCTATGTTCCTCAAGTCATTCCATTGTCCATAGGTCACATGTTGTGTCTTGTCACAGCCAAACAGTTTGCTCTTTTCAAAGCTTGACTTTAGTTAAAAAACTCCACAATGTCCACAAGCAAAGTTTTCACTCCATGGCGGGGCTCGGAAATTATTAACCCTTTGTAACATATGCAGATATTGTGACCAATAGCTTTAAGAACATACATGACAAAATGCTCTTTTCAAAACAACAAATTTCAACAGTTCATATTAAAGAGGACTGAAGATTTAATTTAATTTAAATACTACATCAGCAAATTTCACTTGTGAGCGAATATATTGTCATACCACATTTCCAACTGTCCTGTTGGTGGTGTACTCTATCATCTAGATTCTTTACACTCTTCCTTTAAAGATGGTGACCTTCCCTTCACATTGGCACCACGCAGTTCCAATTGACCTGTTGGTGGCATGTACTCTTGCTAGCTTCTTTTCACTCTTCCTTTAAAGATGGTGACCTTCCCTTCACAATTGGTACCACGCAGTTTTGCTAGCTTCTTTTCACTCTTCATATAAAGATAGTGACCTTCATTTCAAAATTGGTACCACGCAGTTTTGCCAGCTTCTTTTTACTCTTCCTTTAAAGATGGTGACCTTCCCTTCACAGTTGCTGACACACAATTCTCCATACAACATTTCCAATTGTCCTGTTGGTGGCGTGTACTCAGGCTAGATTTATTCTTTACACTCTTTGTTTAAAGATGGTGACCTTCCCTTCCCAGTTGGTAACGCAAAGTTCTCCACGAGGCCCAACACAGATAGATGACGGTCTGTACACACCATCCCTCTGTTTGAGAATCGTCTCGCACCTGATCCCGGCACTGAAAGAGACCTTATGGACTTCATGTTTTTCAGAGTCTACCATGTACATGCTGTCATTGTGGTAACACAAACCACCTGGCTGCAGGAAACATCGGTAATCTGGAGGAGTTACTGTGAACATCCTCACTGCCTTTTTACCATTCTCTATCTTAAAGAATACAAGACTTCTCCTCTGAAAGTCAGACACTGCAAACTGTGTTGCAGACATGGCCTTGATGTAGAGAGGTTCAGCGAGGTCACCATTCCATGATCCTTCGAAGAATCCACACCTGTAGATTCTGGTGCAGTTCACGATCTTACAGCGATGGTTGATGCGGAGGAGGTCCAAGTGGGCTGGTTCGTCTTCACTGGAAGCCAAGATGGTGGTCGGACTTAGCACTGTGACACCACGGTATGTAGAAATCGTGTCAGAGACGTTCACAACGTCAAGGTCAGGTACTGACAGGAAGTACATCTTCTTTCTATCAAGGACGCTGACCACAATACGACTCTCTGTCACTTTATCAAGGAGTTCTAGGGAACATGGCCGTCCAACCACTTCGTTGCTGGTGGTAACATTCCGACCCAGGAAGATATCTTTGATGAACTTGACGCATCGATTTCCCCAATCAAGCACCAACACGCTGTTTTGTTTAGGGAGACAACAGATATCAGAAATTTTTGGAGGTTTGTAATCCGTCCAGCTTCTTGCTGCCATTTCATAGGTTTTGTTTACTCTCATCGCTGTCTCTGTATAGGATACAGATGTGTTAGAAGCAGAAACTCCTGGGGTTGTTCCCCGGCTGCCTGCACCAGCTGCTGCAGCATTTGTGTGACCTGCAGGTGAGTGAAACCCTGGGTTCAACTCCGGCATACTGGTAGAGTTCTGCCTACCGTAAGATGCTCTTGAGGGATGATCTGGAGAGTCAGGACTCTCAGTTTGTGGTCTGAGGTTTGATTGATTAGACCAACCATGAAACAGGGATCTAGAGTCAGAGGGCGTGTTTGAGTAGACCGATAATGGTGGCGCTGAAGGCCTTGGTAACACTGGTAGCTGTGGTGGTGCTGAAGGCCTTGGCGGAGGCAGCCGCTGTGGTGGAGCTGAAGGCGTTGGCGGGGGCGGCCGCTGTGGTGGAGCTGAAGGCCTTGGCGGCGGTCGCTGTGGGGGAACATCATCGTCTGTGGTCCTCTCTTCACTTTTCTTTCTTTCTTGGTCAGACTTCCGAATGACCATATCAATCATATTCTGTATCATAAAGTTATGTTTCAATTCATCTGCCCACTCACTAAAGCTACCGAGATGATTTGTAATGGAAATGAACTGTTTGCAAACAGGACATGGGAAGCCCTTTTTTCGTCTGGCGCCATATACTTCCTGCGACTGCATGTAGGAAATCAGGCAGGAACAGCAGAAGGTGTGGAGACAAGGCAGGCACTTAGGTTCCGTATAAACATCGTAACAAATCGAACACGACAGGAAGCTATCCTGGAGAGTCTGGGCCGTGTTGGGGTTCATCATCTCAAGGAGAGGGATGTTCTGTGCCTCCGCAGCACCAGACGTAAAGTACTTGCTGGTCATGCTGGTGGACATTTTGTTGGGTTCTAAAAGGAAAACAGATATCAGTTCGTTAAATAATGAATGAGTTTAGTTTTACGCCACAGTCAGTTCGTTAAATAGTGAATGAGTTTAGTTTTACGCCACACTCAGTAATATTCCAGCTATATGGCGGTGGTCTGTAAATAATCGAGTCTGGACCAGACAATCAACATGAGCATCGATCTACTCAATTGGGATACGATGACATGTGTCACCCCAGTCAGCGAGCCTGACCACCCGATCCTGTTAGTTGCCTTTTACGACAAGCATGGGTTACTGGAGATCAATTCTAACTCGGATCTTCACGGGTCAGTTTGTTAAAAACATTATTAGTACATTACCAACATGTCATGAGTATGAGTAAATCCATGTACAGTCCGTTTGAGTCAGAAACGGACCGATGAATTGCACATTTTATCATTGTACAAAATTGCCACATAAATATAAGTAGTACACATGTTAATCATGTACTAATACCCAACAGCTTTCTTACAGCAAGGTGTTAGAGAAGCATGTGCACAAGTGCCCACCAAGTTATTGATTCGTTAGCCTGTGCTGTGCCGTCTCCATCCTTTCGCACACCTTGCTGTCCCTTTCTCTGCACTCCTCCCTCGTAACAAATAGTGAACTGTGTCAAAATTTGAATGATAGTTTCTTTAAGAACTTTTTTGGTGGAGTCCGGAAAATTTTCAAATATAAGAAAGCTGTTGGGTATTAGTAAATGATAAACATGTGTACTATTTATATTTATGTGGCAATTTTGTAGAATGATAAAATTTGCAATTCATCGGTCCGTTTCTGACTCAAACGGACTGTAGTTTCATGCTACAATATTACATTTTGGATATGTGAAGAATTAGGTAAACAATTGAGGCTAGGCAAGATACATCAGTTACTGATAAAACAAGCAATAATTCATTGGCCTGGGTTCACAGCAGGAGTTAGATATGTATTATCCATAGTTCTTTCAGCATGTTTAGATAAGTGGTGTGTGTCTTAGCAAAATTGCTGGGAAAAAAATAACATTTCCTTCTAGACTTTTTCTGACTATAGAACTAGTGGTTGTGTCTATCCTTGGTGATTATAGACCTTGCAGGTTATAAATGTGCCAGCTAAACAATAACACTTGAAGGCACAAATAAATCACTATAGAAGTTCTTATCAACACTAACATTCCAGAATATTGTGTTTGAATATGCAATAACAGAACATACCAAACTCAGAAATGGAGGAATAAAATAAAGCCATGGCTAAAATAACCCACAAAAGTTGTGTTATGGTACAGTAGCTCACCTTGATTTATAGTTCTCATGCAAACAATTTAGGCACAACTGTAAAAGTACTACCATGATTATTGATGTAGTTTCTTTGTTACTGTTAGATGTTGAACACTGTCCTAAGCAATATTCCAGCAATCTGTAAACAATCAGGTCTGGACCAGACAATCCACTGATCATGTTGATAAACAACAAGAGTGTCAATTTACACAGCAAGTACATGGGTTATAGCTAAAACGGCACCATAGCAGAACGGCACCAAATTTGTTTGGCGAAAACGGCACCATATTGGCGAAAACGGCTACTGATTTCTGGGCTAAAACGGCACCATATATAAAACAAAGTATGACGTTGACTTATGTTTTATTTCTTTTGGTTTGGTTTAAACAATATTTATTAGGATATTTACATCAACAATTATTATACATTAATGTAGAAAAGCATTGTGACATACTGATATTTTCACGTAAAACGTTTGCTTAGTGATATAAACTTATGAACGGATTGGATTATTTTTGTAATGACATGGTTTGATAGGTTCTTATTGCTAAATAATACAGTGTTCAAGTTGTGACCATTGACATAGAAGTACCTTACATGACAATTATCTGCATAATTTGGGCATTTAAATAAGTAGTGATGTGCATCCTCATACGCATGACCATTTGAACATCGTGAATGATTGACAATAAATCTATCAAATTTATGACCCATTTAAGTTGCTGCATCCCAATCTAATACGACAATGTAAAATTTGGTAGTTTCTATTATCAGAGTTTCTTGTTTCATAAAGTGATAAGCGATGGCTCGTACGAGGTATGAGCTCCGATAAATATAATTATATTCAGGCGTCAAATTTGAATTCATTTTATAAAACAAGTTCATTTTATGATTGTATCGTCTTGGCTAATGAAGTGAACCCAGTTTCATTATATAGTTTTTGATGAATTGTACCATTCACAGCACCACAAATAGTCCAATCACTGTCGGCACAGTAGATGTATTTACTATCTAAACATTCTGCAAGATTATCGGCTATGGGATGCCCTTTCCATTCGGTGTCCTCTCACTTGTCTGTCAAAACAGGTCTCCCACATAGCCAGAGTGGGATTTGGCTGACTAGGGTTAGTGTTTTGATAACACTTCGTCCAGATGAGCCATAGTGAGATTAGTGAACAGGGCTCGATTTAGTGCTTTGTTACTTGCACTGGTGCAACCCAATATTACAAAGTGCAACCTAGTTATTTGTCTAACTTGCACCAGGTGCAAGTAAATTTTTGAGTGGGTAAACTTCTGAATAAAACATCTACATAATTCAATAGCATATTTCTGATATTACATATTGCATTAAAAACAGTGCAACTGGAATTTGACTGGTGCAACTAGGTTTTTATCTTAGGTTGCACCTGGTGCAAGTGTGGGTTAACATCTCCTAAATTGAGCCCTGTTGAAATTTGTATTAAAGTGAGATACATGTACATTGATAGGGTATTATTTGAATTTAAATTCTGTTTCACTTATCATAATTTGTTTAAGGCGTTACAAATAACGATTATCAGGAAAAACACTATTCATTATGTATAAATATATTGTAGTTGTATATTGGATAATTGTACAGTTAGCCAGGCATCAATGCTTGAAAAATTACAGTTTGGTGCACTTAGAACATGGGCTTTCCAATCACTGTCGGCAGAGTAGACGCATTTAAATATTCTGCAATCTGATTATCTAATAACAAATATCTAAGATTTTAGTTGGTGCCATTTTCGCCATAAGATTGTAGCCGTTTTCGCCAAGTCGAGGTTCCGTTATGTCCAAATGGTGCCATTTTTGCCAGGTGCCGTTTTGCTGTGATGATGTTTTAGCCTGAACTCAAGTACATGATAACAGACAATTCACCAAGTCACCGAGCCTGACCATCCAATTCATCTTGTGTCTTATGACAAACATATTTTGTTGGGGTTTCATACCCAGAATTCCCAAAGAGTTTTAATAATCAAGTAATGCACAGATATATATTCCTATAAATTTAGTATTCAAGCATTTAATGCAGGAGAAAACTTTGCTCATTTCCCTGACAAATCCATACAACTGAGGACCTTGCCTGTGAATATGACTAGTTTAGGGCCCAGTCACAGCTCTTATCTATCGACACATTAATTATAGTTTTCGTTACATCTTGATCAATCAAGCTGTATTTCTCTTGTGTTGTTGTTTACATGGCACCCCATACAATGTCCTCACATGAAACTACAACATTATCATGATAATCATGATAATGAGTAATGGGCTCATGTCCCATTTACAGAAATAAACATGTAATCATTTATGGCCAGATGCTGATCTGTCAACAGTTGGAGAGTCCTGTAAGTGGATTTACATGACAGTTAATCTGTCAGAATCCCAGATGAAGAAACCTTTTAGTGGGCTTACATGACACTCAATCTGTCAGAATCCCAACTGGAGAAACATTGAAGTATTCTTACTTGTCACTCAATCTGTCAGCATCCAAGAGCCACGCTTGAATCTGGCTTAGTTCAGCCGAGCCAAATTACCCAACCAGATACAAATCTCAGTGGAATTTTACATCAGCGTTTTGTTCACTGACAATGTAATAAAAGCATTCTGTCATTCTTTCTCTATGTCATTTTTAAAATAAAACAAAAATAACTTACCAACTGATCAGTAATTTGATTCCATTTACCCGTACACCGTCCGGTGTACGTGTGCAGTGGAACTGATCTGTCCCCTTCTACGTTTTACACTCCTGTTGCGAAATCAACGATTTCAACAGAACAGTCCACAAAAGAGATCGACCCAATGCCTTTTGGACTCACGAAATCCCATTCTTAACATGGAAAGTGATGTCACAGATGTGTAATTCCACTTCTGCTCGGATAAACTTCTAACAGGTCCAAGTTTTAAGTGTTCTTTCGTTATTTATAAACAACGTGAACGTGACATCACTTGTTTATGAATATGGAAATATATTTTTGTCCAATCAAACACCGTCACACTTTTCGTGCTGAACTGTAAAACAGGAAGTGAATCGTCGACCCACCGACCTGACCCCAACAGTCCAAGTGTGAGTGTTTTGGATTGGGATGAATATCCTACCACATAAAAGGTATTGTCAAAGTTATATTGCTTCAAACGAAACTAATGCAATATTGCCAGTAACTTGATGTAATTCTTGTTGTTTTATTCATTTGTACAACTTGTGTTGATCTTTTTCACGAGTTGCCGAGTGACAGTGCCAGTGTCACTGTTACTTATCATATACAATACTGACCGGTAATTCCGCGCACCTAAGCACATTGATCGCAACACGGCAACTAACGTCTCTTATTTCTTGTGGTTTACGTGACTAAACATGCTGGTATGCATCATATTTACCTAGAAATATAAGTTTTATTGACGACTATACGATTCTAACGTTGCATTATGCGGTTGACCTTACCGCCGTTCTGACCTCATCGCTTGCTGTCCGGTAATTCTGCGCAGCAACTCATGCGCATAACATCCAGCTGGAGATCCGAAGTATGGAACTGATTATTTTCAAAAATCTCTTCATCAATGTAAGGAAGATTGTTTCATATTAAATCCAATTATGAATAATGAAGAAAAAGTTTTAAAAGTCTGAAGAAAACGAATTTTCATAAAACTGTCAATTACTGTTATTTACTTACCTTTAGTGATTAAACGCCAGTCCGTTGTAGAAATGTCCCGATTTCAAGTGTGACTGTGGTAGCAGACAATGTTTACCTTCGATACGGAAGTACGCTATTGCAGCTGCATGATAGAATTTATCGGACTGGCTTGTATCTGGTCTCATGGGTGATATTGCGGCCGAATATTGCTGGAATATTGCTAAAAGCGGCATAAAACTAAACTCACTCACTTACTATACTATACATGGGTACAAATGTGTAAAACCCATATCTGGTGTCCCCGGATATTGCTGGATATTGCTAAAAGCGGCATAAAACTAAACTCACTCACTTACTATACAATACATTGATTTACGTCTTCTGTATTGCAAAACATTTGATTTGTGTCATTACAAGTTTTATTGATGTGAAAACGTGTAAGTAATAACAAACTGTCCAAGAACCCAAGAACTAGATATGGGAATTCTTTTGTTTCCTATAAATAGCAGTATATGCATAGTGCCCCCAGAAGTTAATGTATCTCCCCTTCAGTATCATTCCGTGCTTGTGAAATTTGAAAACAAATGATTCAGGGTTGTGATTCACAAGTGAAAAAAGAGAACAGTGTAGCAGCGACAGGTAGACAGGAGTTTACTAATTTGGTCAGGTAGAAAAGGATTTAGGTCAGTCATAGTTAACATGAAAAATGTATGGTTTTGTGGTTCATTAATGAATCTGTCTCCAAGAATGTGTTGCCCATTTCAGTTGGCATGTACGGACAAAGAAGAACATCGAGAGAGTTCCGTAAAGATGAAGAGAAAGCTGCTGAAGAGGAGAAAGAGAGGCTGAGGAAGATTGCTCTTGCAGTAAGAATCAATTTTCATCACAGATAGCATAAAAGTACCACACGGTATCACGGTGGTGGCGCATGGTCCTGTGCAGAGAGCTCAGGTCACAAATCAGTTGAAGTTCAGCAACGTCGAGCTCGGACAATCCTTGGATGGGTGACCGTGTTTGACTCCTGAGAGTTTCTAGGACTTCAGTCCTGCCCCACAACGAAGCACATGTGATGCATGTGGTCTCATCTTAGGCAAGTGAGTTTGTTCAAATTGCCTCTGTTCACCCAGCAGAAAATGGGTACCTGGTTGGATAAAGTCATGTGACTATAACCTTTTTAGCCTAACAGGCAGCTTGGGTTATCTGGGGTAATAAGAATCAGATTCTGATTAAGCCCCGCGAGCAATCACTTGGTGTTTGGAGACTGTGCGCTATAGAAGATGACTTATTATTATTATTATCAGTTATATTTCAGGTCTTCAAATTGTGGAGACGCTGAAGACCCCAGTTCTATTTCCCACTTGGGTACAATGTGTGCAGTGGTGTGAAGCCCATTTCTGGTGTCCCCTGCCGTGATATTGCTGGAATATTGCTAAAAGTGGCGTGAAACCATACTCACTCACTCAAATTGAGAAAGTAGTAATTAAAGTAGCAATTAGATATGCAGATTTACATGACTTAATTACACCAGGATCTGCAAAAATGTTTCATTACAGATTTGTCCCTGTTTGGTCTGTCAGTGTTATTAGATTGGTTTCTGGGACTCTGGAAAGAAACGATTCTCAAAATTTCAAGCTCTTCTTCTTGTCTGCATGGAATGGGATGTGACAAGACATAGAGTATTCACAACCTCACTGTGTAAGCTCCAGTCCTACTAGATTTAGACCGCCTCCGTGGTGTAGTGGTTAGAGCGTCTGCCCGGAGAGTGGAAGGTTGCAGGTTCGATCCCCGGCCGCGTCATACCAAAAGACGTTAAAATTTGGTACTTGTTGGTCCCTGTCTGGCGCTCGGCATTAATGGGTACAATAAGGACTGGTCAGCTCGGAGTCAGTATAATGTGTCTGAGTGGGGTATTCATGCTTCACTGCGGCATGGTATCTCAGTGGGCTAGCACTATAAAACCAGCTTCAGTCTGGGCTAGTACAAGCAGCTACACATACACATGCATGCACGTCGTCATATGAGCGAAATATTCTCAAGCCCGACGTAAAACCCAATTTCACCTCACCTCACCTCACCTACTAGATTTAGAGTTGTGATATCAATAATTTTAGAACTTCTGTAAATATGTTTTTCATTTAAAAAAAATATGCCACTCTGTGTTTTTCATTACGATGAAAAAGTGTAATGATCATGATGTGTCTAGGCATATTGTTTGATCGTTTTCATGGTTATCCGCCGTCCATCCGTCCCAAGTGATTTGTTTCCAGAGAGTAACTAAAAAAACGTTCAATATTTTTCAACTTAAATTGGTAGATATATCAAGCAGAATCTAAAGTGGTGCCTTTTGATATTTACAGATTTTTGTCTTTTCTATTTTTCTCGGTTGCCATGGAAATGTTGTGGACTTGGTCTCAAAAGGGAGGGATGGGCTTCGTTTCCGGAGCACAACTTGAAAACTGGTCAATATTTTTCAACAAAAATTGGTAGATATATGAAACAGAACCTAAAGTGGTGCCATTTGCTATTTGCAGATTTTTGGCATTTTAAATTTTCTTAGTTTGATTTGGACTTAGTCTCAATAGGGAGGTGTGGGTTTTGTTTCCGGAGCATAACTTGAAAACCTTTCATTATCTTTCAGCAAAACTTGGCAGATATATGAGACAGATCCCAAAGTGGTGCCTTTTGCTATTTGCAGATTTTTGGCATTATATTTTTTATGATTTGCATGGAAATGATTTGGACTTAGTAAAAATAACAAGTTGGACTTAAGTAACTGTCAGATGATTTGTTCTTTCAAATTTGTGGGGGAATTTGTCATCTTCTGATGACTCTTGTTCAAATGAGAAGAATTTCTATGACAAACTGTATTTACTTCAGGACCACAAGGGTACAATGTGTGAAGCCCATTTCTGGTGTCCCCCGCTGTGATATTGCTGGAATTTTTCTAAAAGCGGTGTAAAACTCACTCACTCATTTATTTCAGGAGCAAGAAGCGAGAACAGATTTGCTCCGAAAACGAGCAAAGTCTCGTATTGAGCATGCCCCTTCGGATCAGATAGAAGATGGACCCGTAGCGGGAGCTGGGGAGCTACAGGGAGGTGAAGAGGCTGAGTCTACAGCTGTGTTAGAGGCTGAGTCTACAGCTGTGTTAGGGGCTGATCACCAGCCACGACACATCAACTTCTTCAAGGAAATAGAAGATGGGGTAAGCTTAGTAATTATTTGTATTGCTGTCAGTGTCAGATCGCTGTGGGTTTGTGTAGTCATTAGGCCTTTGACTCATCACGGCAAAGGCATGTATGTGTGCAACATGTGCTGGTCATAAATAAAAAGGGAACAATATGGATCTGGTGCTGACTTGGTTCATTATACACTCATGGAAAAAAATAAAGGAACATATAAAAGGACATGTCTTCCTTTATGCTTTTCCGGCTTTTCACCCACGGTGCAAAACAGCATGCGAGGAAACCTGGAAAAGAATACAGGCACACGATTGCATTCATGCGTTCCCTTATTTGTAGTGTTGGAAATTGGTTAAAATCTCATAATTGATGATTGGTTCATTACAACCGATCAATCATCGAAAATAATTGGTTAGCGTCATTTATCAGATTTTCCTGGTTAATTTTGTTTGCACAAAAACATAAAGAAAAAACATGTAGTTCTTTGGGTTCTTTTTTTTGCAATTTGGTCATCTTTAAAGGATGACTAGTATGTTAGGAACATAAATTTCTTGGGGGTTCTTTAAGATAAATTCAATCATGACTTGGGCGAGCTTGTAGTGTTCATGAAATGTAACTGACAAAACCAACCGTGTGAAAGACATTGATAATGCAACAAGTGTTCCAGAATTGTTTGTGTTCGATTATGAGAAAACATGATCGATTGCTTGGTCGTTTATTCACTTCGACCAATCTTCGATTATCTCAGTTAATCGGACCACCACTACGTATTGGTTTCCATGAGTATATGTCAGCAGTCATAGATGGGGTGAATCCAGGGCCTAGATTTTCGAAGCTCTCTTAGCACTAAGATAGTTGTAAGTGCCATACATTAACATTAACTTACGACCCTCTTAGCACTAAGATAGTTGTAAGTGGCATACATTAACATTAACTTACGACCCTCTTAGCACTAAGATAGTTGTAAGTGGCATACATTAACATTAACTTACGACCCTCTTAGCACTAAGATAGTTGTAAGTGCCATACATTAACATTAACTTACGACCCTCTTAGCACTAAGATAGTTGTAAGTGCCATACATTAACATTAACTTACGACCCTCTTAGCACTAAGATAGTTGTAAGTGCCATACATTAACATTAACTTACGACCCTCTTAGCACTAAGAGAGCTTCGAAAATCTAGGCCCTGGCTTACAAAATCAATCACTGGATTGTCTGGTCCAGACTGACTATTTATAAGCTACTAATACATAGCTGGAATATTGCTGAGTGCCATGTTAAACAGAATCCAAAGACCCAGTTTTATACTGTACTTAAGTGCCATGTGTGACAACCACTCCTTGAATCTTCCTTAACAAGGACTTAAATTTGAACCTGACCTGGCCCCAATTTCTCGGAACAAACTTAAGTTTTTACTCAAATCTCAAACTGAGTTCACAATTTGGAACAGCTGAATTTTGAACTTTACTGCATTTTTAAAATATAAAAGCCCAAACAACTTAAGTAATCTATCCACCAAACTCAAATTATCTTCTATAGTTCGAGTTTAATACCGATTTCAGTTCATTCTGTGAAATGCATTTCCTGTGTTTTCTCAAATTTGAGTAAAAACTCGAACTTAAGTCAAAACTCAGACTTAAGTTTGTTTCGAGTAATCGGGGCCTGAACACTATTGAACAGGGCTTAAAATTACTTGTAGAGATGCATGGTATTTCTTGTTTAAATGATCAGAAATACTAATGATTATGTATTACAATATGCTTGGAAGTGAGTATATTAAGTTTTTCAAAATCATGGATTTTTCTCCTTTATGGTTAAGTTTACATAAGTGAGTACATATAATGTAGGTCTTCCACACCATAGCTGTTGCCAATGAAAGCCAGACAGAGAAACCTCAGTGGGGAAGTCGGATGTATCGGTCAATTTTTTATTCAAGTTAATAAAAACTATATATGAAAGAAGGTATGCAGTAAATTGTTGGCATACTTATCAAACTAAATAAACACAAAAGTCAGACCAGCTCCCATAACTATTATCATATTGAAAAGTGTGAAGGTTCTAAGACGTTTGATTCCCCACATGGGTACAATGTGTGAAACCCATTTCTTGTGTCCCCTCCGTGATATTGTTGGAATGTCGCTAAAAGCGGCGTAAACCCATACTCACTCATTCGCTTGTATGTACCATTTTCTCCCTTGTGCTGTCATCAGATGAAGAAGCATGGTAAAAATGCAGACCATGAGGCGGAGAAGAAGGCTGAGAAGGAGAAGTGGGAGAAGAGCATCGGCTTGCTGACATACCTGGGTCAGAGCGCAGTGGAGACTCAGGGTAAGTCACAGTGTAGGGAAAGATACCTGTCCGGTCTGTCAGAATCTTGTATGAGAACTAACGGCATGTAGTGCATACACAGTGGTTAATGTTTAAGGCCTCTTCCAAAACCAGTTTCACTGCTGTACCCGATGTCAATGAGTGTAGACACAAAAAACGTGTGTGGACCTTTTGGTTTACTTTTGTGTTTACAAAATGAACGCCGTCGGTTCCAAATGAATTCCCGTGCTTCAAATACTCAATAACACCCAGAAATTGGCCAACACATGATGTTTATCTCCTAAATGAAGCGCATTAACTGTACGTACACCACCCCTATATTCATTGATATTTGCAAAAAATACTTGTTTGTCTTCTGTCTGCATAGAACTCCAGCACATGGCACCATTTTGTGTGTTAGACATCCCTTCAAACCACTCTGACATTCTTAAAAAAGGGGCGGTGGGGTAGCGTAGTATTTAAAGTGTTAGCTTATCATGCCAAAGGCTCAGTTTTGATTCCCAATGCGTGAAGCCCTGGTGTGATCCGCCATGATATTGCTCAGGGCTCCAGATAAGGGCCGTATCGGCGTATGTACGGATATAAAATATGCACGATACGGTGGGAAATAATTTAAGCGTAGCGAATCACGCACCACAGCAATGGTAATGCGGTCTTAGAATCATTTACAGACGTATTTATCTGAAAAAGTATTGTTTCATTGTTTATTGACCTGTTTACACAAGAGTAGCAATGTTGTGGTGCATATATGAAACGAAACAAAAGGTTACTAATACTCCATTAAATTCCATTCAGTACTCTAAATGTACTTTTATTGTTTTCCAGTACTCCTATATTAAAAAAAATAAGGAGTACATACTCCTGATCATGAAAAATTATCTGGAGCCCTGTTGCTGGAATATTAGTAAAAACAGCGGAGAACTAAACTCACTCACTAGTTAAAAAATTTCTGAAGCCTACTTCTGGTGTCCCCAGGTGTGATATTGCTGGAATATTGCTAAAAGTGTGAAACCTCAGTCACACACTCACTCACTCTACAATAATTTGTCTCAGAGTCTTCCCCCTGGTATCTGGTGCCACAGAAGAGGAAGCGGAAGAAAGATGACGAGGAAGAGGAGGAGGAAGAAGAAAAGAAATTTGATTTGAAGTAAGGGAAATGCTTAAATGTGCCGTGATATAACTGTGATACTTATGACGCTAGGACGAAAACATTATTCGAGAACTGACTGTTTTCAGCATGACCAGAAACGGGGATAGTGTTGCTTTTGATACAAATAGAACACAGTATCTATCCTCTATTATCCCTTCTAAGATGCTTCGGTGAAAAGTCAAAGGCGCTGACAGTACTTTATCAGGCGATAATATGCACTTTTTGCATTACATCACAATGTATTGGCGTCACTGCGCCATTCCAGTCTGCCCCCTCGTAATAGAACACTTTTGCATTAGCGACGTCTTGATGCATGTCAGTTGTCATCGCCTCGTACAGCCTCCTACAGTAAACTACTCTGTTGCATCCTGTTTCTTGGTATGCAGTTGCTTCACACAGATAATATCACTGGTGGATTCATTTCGTTTATGTTTTCCGACGGTTAAAATCTCTCAATTCGACTCACAAGTTTTCAGCAACACGGTAACGTTCCCACAATGTAATCGTGGAATGTCGCTTGACTACTCAGCTTCATCTGGATGTACTGATCTAAACTTACATTGGTAGTAGAAATGCGAGGTTCATATTGCCCCATATGGTCTACGTTAATCACAGATGTAATTAGAATGAATTAGAGAAGATATTTAATCTGAACGTAAACCGTCATCAAACTGTTTATCATTTGTTTTTTCTGGTAACATTCTGGTAAGAACTTCTTTCTTTAACCAGGTCAATGAAGGAACGCAAAAGACAGGAACACCTTGACCCTATGAACAAGATGAAAGAATATGTCCACAAGAAAAAACACAAGCACCACAAAGAAAAGGTGAGAACAGCTTTGTCAGTAAACTGTTTACAGCACAAACTACTGGTTCACTGATAATGTTTCCCATACTGACCGTTTCCTGCAATTATGGCTCATGTGCAGATAGCCAAACAGTCCTGCATCTTGAAACAGTGATCAAGACCCAGTTTAATACTGTACTTAAGTGCCATGTGTGACCACCACTCCCCTTGAATCTTCCTTAACAAGGACTTAAATTTGAAACCTGACCTGGCCCTCAATTTCTAAACAAACTTAAGTTTTACTCAAATCTCAAACTGAGTCTCACAATTTGGAATAGCTGAAGCCTTTGAACTTTACTGCATTTTTAAAATATAAAAGCCCAAACAACTTAAGTAATCTATCCACCAAACTCAAATTATCTTCCATAGTTCGAGTTTAATACCGATTTCAGCGGTTCATTCTGTGAAATGCATTTCCTGTGTTTTCTCAAATTTGAGTAAACTCTGAACTTAAGTCAAAACTCAGACTTAAGTTTGTTTCGAGAAATCGGGTCTGAACACTAATATTGAACAGGGCTTTAAAATTATTTTGTAGAGATGCATGGTATTTCTTGTTTAAATGATCAGAGATACTAATGATTATGTAATTACAATATGCTTGGGAAGTGAGTATAGTAAGTTTTTCAAAATCATGGATTTTTCTCTTTATGGTTAAGTTTACATAGTGAGTACATATAATGGTAGGTCTTCCACACCATAGTTGCTGCCAATGAAAGCCAGACAGAGAACCTCAGTGGGGAAGTCGGATGTATCGGGCCAAGCTTTTTATTCAAGTTAATAAAAACTATTATATATGAAAGAAGGTATGCAGTAAATTGTTGGCATAATTTATCAAACTAAATAAACACAAAAGTCAGACCAGCTCCCATAACTATTATCATATTGAAAAGTGTGAAGGTTCTAAGACGCTTTGATTCCCCACATGGGTACAATGTGTGAAACCCATTCTTGTGTCCCTCCGCGTGATATTGTTGGAATGTCGCTTCAAAGCTGCGCAACCCATACTCTCTCACTCGCTTGTATGTACCCATTTTCTCCCTATTGCTGTCATCAGATGAAGGAAGCATGGTAAAATGCAGACCATGAGGCGGAGAAGAAGGCTGAGAAGGAGAAGTGGGAGAAGAGCATCGGCTTGCTGACATACCTGGGTCAGAGCGCGGTGGAGACTCAGGTAAGTCACAGTGTAGGGGAAAGATACCTGGCGGGTCTGTCAGAATCTTGTATGAGAACTTACGGCATGTAGTGCATACACAGTGGTTAATGTTTAAGGCCTCTTCCAAAACCATCCACCCCACCCCACCCCACCCTTGTAAAGGCCTAAAAACCGAATGCTTATTATGTACCCATTCTATGAAACATTCCTGATTGTAAACCAAAAGTCACTTTAATCTTGATTGGTTGAAAACGCGATCAAATGGTGGTATTCTTATCCCGGAAAATCGCGAGCTGCATTAATACATACAAACATCGCGCACACCATTGTATTGTTACGTGCGCCAGCTGTGATGATGTCATTAAAATCATATTGTGACGAATAATAACGCTCACACAAATGAGCAGTTCCAGACGCTTCATGGCATAAGGAGATACAGCCGAACGCACGCTGATGACATTTCACCGCTGCACCCGTACTTGATGTCACTGAGTACAGACACAAAAACGTATGTGTGGACCTTTTGGTTTACTTTTGTGTTTACATAAAATAAACGCCGCCGGTTCCAAATGAATTCCTGTGCTTCAAATACTCAATAACAACCCAGAAATTGGCCAACACATGATGTTTATCTCTTTAAATGTGAAGAAGCGCATTAACTGTAACGTACACTCCACTCCTATATTCATTGATATTTTTGCAAAGAAAAACTAGTTTGTCTTCTGTTTGCATATCACTCCAGCACTTTATGGCACCATTTTGTGTGTTAGACATCCCTTCCAACCATTGTGGGGGTAGCTTTGTAGTTAAAGTGTTAGCTTATCATGTGAGAGCCCTGAGGTGTGACCCCCATGATATTGCTGGAATATTGGTAAAAACAGCGGAGAACTACTTCACTGGTGTCCCCAGGTGTGATATTACTGGAATATTGCTAAAAGTGTGAAACCTTGCTAACACACTCACTCACTCTACAATAATGTGTCTCAGAGTCTTCCCCCTGGTATCTGGTGCCACAGAAGAGGAAGCGGAAGAAAGATGACGAGGAAGAGGAGGAGGAAGAAGAAAAGAAATTTGATTTGAAGTGAGGGAAATGCTTAAATGTGCCGTGATATAGCTGTGATACTTATGATGCTAGGACGAAAACATTACTCGAGAACTGACTGTGTTTTCAGCATGACCAGAAACGGGGATAGTGTTGCTTGTGATACAAATAGAACACAGTATCTATCCTCTATTATCCCTTCTAAGATGCTTCGGTGAAAAGTCAAAGGCGTCGACAGTACTTTATCAGACGATAATGTGCACTTTTTGCATTACATCACAATGTATTGGCGTCACTGCGCCATTCCAGTCTGCCCCCTCGTAATCGAACACTTTTGCATTAGCAACGTGTTGATGCATGTCAGTTGTCATCGCCTCGTACAGCCTCCTACAGTAAACTACTCTGTTGCATCCCGTTTCTTGGTGTGCAGTTGCATCACACAGATAACATCACTGGTGGATTCATTACGTTTATGTTTTCCGACGGTTAAAATCTCCCAATTCGACTCACAAGTTTTCAGCAGCACGGTAACGTTCCCACAATGTAATCGTGGAATGTCGCTTGACTACTCAGCTTCATCTGGATGTACTGATCTAAACTTACATTGGTAGTAGAAATGTGACGTTCATATTGCCCCATATGGTCTACGTTAATCACAGATGTTAATTTAGAGAAGATATTTAATCCGAACGTAAACCGTCATCAAACTGTTTATCATTTGTTTTTTCTGGTAACATTCTGGTAAAGACTTCTTTCTTTAACCAGGTCAATGAAGGAACGCAAACGACAGGAACACCTGGACCCTATGAACAAGATGAAAGAATATGTCCACAAGAAAAAACACAAGCACCACAAAGAAAAGGTGAGAACAGCTTTGTCAGTAAACTGTTTACATCACAAACTACTGGTTCACGGATAATGTTTCCCATACTGACCGTTTCCTGCAATTATGGTTCATGTGCAGATAGCCAAACAGTCCTGCATCTTGAAACAGTGATCTGTTGTCTCATATGCAGCAATTCACAGTGCAGAGTTGTGTCCCCTCTTGTGGCAGGATCTGCTGAGTTCTAATCCCAGATTTAGCCTGATTATTATGTTCGTCTGTCAGCACCCTTGGGTTTTTGTGCTGCTTACTACATGTCCCCAAACCTGAGACTATCTTCCCATGCTATGACATTATTGACCTACTTACACAGGAGGGGCGGTGGGGTAGCCTAATGGTTAAAGCGTCGGCTCATCACGCTGACGACCCGGGTTCGAATCCCCACATGGGCACAATGTGTGAAGCCCATTTATGGTGTCCCCCGCCGTGATATTGCTGGAATATTGCTAAAAGCGGCGTAAAACCCAACTCACTCACTCACTCACTTACACAGGTTAGCTCTTTCAAGTAATATCCAGGTTACATAAAAGTGTTGTTATGTCTACTTGTTTTATTCCATAATAAAATGACAAAGGAAACTTTAAGAAACAGGTAACAAGTTCACCTTTTCAGTCAATATTTTTCTTTATCTGACTGGCTTAGGTTTGGGGAAGTCCACTTCCAATAATTCTCATTCTGACAATATTTCTTCCTGTTGAATACCTGCTTTTAAAACTTTGCATTATATAATCTTTATATCATGGTGGTGAACTTAAAGGTCACATGCAACCAAAAAATCAAACATAATTAAAACACAATTATCACTTATCCATGACATATAATATACATTGTTGGTTATGAAAAAACATATAAACAAAATTATAAGCGTACAATCGCGTTATTTTTCAACTTTATAAGTTGAATTTGCATTTTTGACGATTTGTTTCGGTAAGTCCATACCGAAAGGTATCAGAATCTGCAAAGTTGTGTTTTACGTTGCATGTGACCTTTAAAGGGTAAATATGTCTGAAAAATACAAGTATTTCATCTCAAATTATGATACATATTTGGTATTGATAGTTTTCTTTTGGAATTTGGTATCTTTTTACACCTTTGGGTCCAGCCATTTGAGTATTTTCCCACTAATTGGCAGGCATTTTGTAAGGTAATAATTAAATGTTGTTTAAGGTGACTAGTACAGGGGTGGAAATAACCCATTGCCCGACGCCCGAGTCCAGTGTTTTTTTCTGTCGGGCAAGCAAATTTGTATATCACGCTACATCGATGTCCAGTTGACTTTCCAATATTAATTATGTTGTTTATTTAAAAATCAACAAGAAAACGGCCGGTATGGTGGAAAAATTATCAGGGCAAGTGATTTTACATGTGCCACTGTACCGGAGTACACTAGCAATATTAAAATTATTTCCACCCCTGTAGTAATTAGTCTCTGTTCGTGTCCTGCCCAAGTGTAAAACGTGTTGTATAAACTCACAACAGATAAATAATGTCTAATCAACAATAAGTGAGATGTAGAGCTATCTTATGCATGTATTGGAAAATGGAAATTGATATTGGGTATCAGTAATTCTGCTCAGGTACGTTAACATGACTACACAATGCCATTATGAAAGTGGTCAAATGTAACATATGTTATATTTGGGATTACATTTTCTCAGTAAAGTACAGATTCCTGTACTTATGTTGGGTTGAGTCCCATCCGGGATTGAACCCATGCCCTCAGAGTCAGGCACCTAATTGATCAGCACACCCCTTCCCACCACATGTATATAATTGACCTCCCTTAGTGACCGCATATACTAATCTAATATGTGTATACAAAATTAATGCCCTCCCCAGCCCTCTGCATGTCAGAACAATATGGGTGCTCCCCCAAAATTTAATAAAATAAATATAAAATAAATAAATAAATAAATAAATAAATAAATAAATAAATAAATAAATAAAATAAATAAATAAAATAAAGAAAAATAAAATAAAATAAAATAAAAAAATAAATAAAATCATTATCATCAACCCCTAGCCATAAATTATTAACAGTCCCTTATCTGAGCCTGACAAAATTACACATACAAAACATGGCTGTATCAGTACAAGGGAGATAACTGTACAAGAACTCTCGCTCAATTTGAATAAACTTGAGTCTCTTCTTTAAGAAGCTAAACACGTTTACAAAAACTAGTACTGGAGAAAGTATTATGTTAGCATTGTTTAATTTATAACATTTTTGATTTAACTAGCTGATTTAACTTAAAATTCATTATATTTTACACATCTTTAGACCTTTTAAGTCCGAAAATGTGTCAAATATAAATTTACTTTCAACATACTTAACTGACTGACTGACTGAGTTTGGTTTTACGCCGCTTTTAGCAATATTCCAGCAACATCAGGGCGGGGGACACCACAAATGGGCTTCACACATTATACCCATGTGGGGATTCGAACCTGGGTCTTTGGCGTGATGAGCCAACGCTTTAACCATTAGGCTACCCCACCGCCCCTCATACTTAACAGAATATTGAAGTTATGTACACAGAACCAATATTGTTGGACCACAGAACAATCACACGGTTACGACTCTTGTGACCTCACTAACAACAGCTCCAGTGGAACAACTGCTTTTATCACAGCATTTAACAACATTCACTCAGACCAAATATCACTGTTTTCAGAAACACAAGCACCACAGCAAGGTCAAGGACCACCACAGCAGGGTCAAGGACAGCAAGGTCAAGGATCACAAACACAAGAAGGGCTCCAGTCAAGGCAGTTCCAGTAAGACGATGGAGCAGCTACGTGCAGCGCGGTTGCGGAGGGAGGGGGATGAGAGGAAGAAGACACAGATGCTGATGGCAAGGTTACGTGGAGACGCACCAGCCGAACCTGTGGAAGAACCTGTTGGTGATCGACAACGGAAATATAACTCTCAGTATAACCCAGAGTCTGTGCGGCAGCCGAAGAAGAAATTCAGACCATCTGATGTGTATGTCTAAGTGACAGATTAGTGTTTGATGGATGCTTGACAGAGACATGCTCAGTGGAAGTATTCTTCAGTTGGAGGAGATTGTTTGTGTGCATGAGTGAGTGAGTGAGTGATGCTGGTCGTCATTAATATCACTTTGATTTAAACAATGAGTTTGAATTGGTCCTAGAGGATCGTAATGCACAACTCAGAACAGTGTGTGAATTTGTGTCTGCATGCATTTGTGTGTTTGTGTGTGTGCATGCATGTGCCTGTGGGTATTTTAAAGAGTTTATGAGTGTGTGTGTTTGCGTATCGAATGTTTTGGTACAGTACACATAATCTGTACATCACCACAAATTTATTTTGGGGGCAATTGTATTTCTGTGACAGTGAGCATTTCTGTTTGATCCCATGCAAATATTTCTATCAGCCTAAGTAACCAACATGTTTATCTTTTGGAAACACTTGTTGTTGCAGCTTATTATTTGTTGGTCTTTTTTTATCTCAGATTTGAGAATAATTTCTACTGACATCAGTTACACACATGTAAAACATTTAGAAATTGTAAATAAAAATGAACTGACCTGCTGGGTTTATGTTACCTGAAACACTGGTGTGTGTTTTTGAATTGATCATGTTGATGGGGTACTGACAGTTGGTGGTGATATATATAGTAGGAGACAGTACATTTGGTGGGTGGGCTGTCTAAGGCTCCAGGCTAGTAATCCAGCGAGCTTTAGGTGCTGGATCGAGCCCACCTGTGACCGGGTGTAAAAACCTTGGAGTCAACTTTGTGTGCAGACTCTTTCAGTGTTGTCACAACCCCTAGTGTACAGTACACAACCCTGTGCACTTACAAGAACCCACGAATCCGTTGGTAGATGACCAGATGGTGGCCACATGAATACGTACAAACACCCAGTTGCGGGTACAGCAACGTGCAGTGAACTTTGACAAAGTACTGTGACTATGTGTCCCAGTCAACCCAGCTGTGAATGGGTACCTCGTACGGATGGGAAAGTTGCAATAACTTGGTGCGCCTCGTGGCTGCAAGAGTTATATGGTCTCCAGGGAGGTGATATTGATAATACCACGTGCCGTTGAGATTGACATCCACAGATCGCGGGGAAAAAATAGTACCTTGAGCATGTACTAGTTGCGTGGATATGTGCGCTATATAAATGCCATAATATATATTTTGACCATTTGACAACGTTGATTGTTATAAGGACTGGAAATGTTTATATTAAAATAATGAAAAGCAACTGAATAGCAAAAACTATTAAACTTGCAGACAGTACAGATATACATTAATGCAGATTTATTTCAATTTTTTTTTTTGAGATTACGAATCCCAATGTACAAAATGCATCACAAGTGCACACATGGGGATCTATACTCCATGGTTGTACCCAGGTATTATTGTATGTTGTAAAGCAGTGTTGATTTTTCAGTAATGTTTGTCAAGTTCAGCATTTTTCTTCAGCTACGGTTACCCTACAAATGCTAAATCAGACTGCATAATGCTGTAAGATAAATTGACACATCAACTGAGTTAAGCCCAAACATACTTATGGTGTTGAAAGAAATTTCTTTTGAAGATTTAGATAATGCAAAATTAAGTATTGAGTAGATGCTGGTATTGCATTATGTCTGCTACTGAGGTATGTGAAAGTGGTACAACATTGACATATCATGGTGCTTAACATAATATTTCATGTCAATAACAGATTTCTGTTAAGCAGACACCATACATCTTTCCATCAGTAAAGAATAAGATGAAATTAAATCTGCATGTCATGATTTTGGTCCTCATGTTCAAGTTTGTTTCACCCATGAAGGTCCCGGTTAGAATATTGATCTTCAGTAACCCATGCTTGTCGTAAGAGGCGACTGACTAACGGGTGGTCAGACTCGCTGACTTGGTAGACACATGTCAACGGTTCCCAATTGCGCAGATCGATGCTCATGGTGTTGATCACTGGATTGTCTGGTCGAAAACTAAACACACTCACTCACTCACTCAAGTTTGTTTCTGGCATAACCCTAAGCCTCATATTACTGGGAAAATGGTTCAAATTTGCCCAAATACCTTTTTAGCTATTAACTGGTGCCTCTCAGTTTCCAGGTAGTTTGGAACTTGTAGTATGTTGTGGTCAGGGGCTTGAGTTTTGCACCCAATGAATCAGGCCACTGGTTCGGGATGTAGTAAATTATTTTATGTGTCCCCTTAATAAAGTGACTTTGTTAAAACGTCACCTCTGTTCATCCATGGTGTGAGAGAGAGAAGAGAAGAGACATGGCTTTTTGAGAAGAGGGGGGAAGGGAGGGAGGAGCACCCTCTTGGGAAAGGGAGGGGGTGCACACTTTATTTTCAGGAGAGTTTCAATGGTCATTTAATAAACTTTCAGGACCCCCGCTGGATCCGCCTATGCAAGGGACACCACAAATTTACCTCACTCATTGGACACATACGAGGAATCAGACCATATGCTGTGTTGAGCCATACTTTCCTTCCCATCTTCTTGTAATAATTGTGGGGAGGTGGGATAGCGTAATGGTTAAAGCGTTGGCTCGTCATGCGGAACACCAGGGTTCGATTCCCCACGTGAGGACAGTGTGTGAGACCAAATTCTGGTATACTCCGCCGTAATATTGATAAAAGCATCGTAAAACCATACTCTCTCACTTACACACTGACTTCTAATAATTGCGAAGCTCCCGGTGCTCTGTTTACAAATGGCATACGGGAAATATGAAGCTGCTTTTAGTAAATATGAAAGCCCCGGGAGCTACGTTGTCATGGGATGAAGGCAGACCATAATATCTCTGTGTTTATTATTGTTTCCTGCTGACGTGCATGCCGAAAGACCTGGTGTACGTTTTCAGAAATTAAGGGAAGAGATCGTAAAATATGTGACGTTTTACCGATCCGATTTAGATGATGTGCGAGTTATCCGTTCTTCCGTGAGCGAGTGATTTTAGTTTTACACCGCTTTTAGCAATATTCCAGCAATATCACGACGGGGGACACCAGAAATGGGCTTCAGACATTGTACCCATGTGGAGAATCGAACCCGGGCCTTAGGCATGACGGGAGAACGATTTGACCACTACGCTACCCCAACGCCCTAACCTTTCTTCCGCTTTTGACACCATTCCAGACAAATGGAATAATGATCTTTTCTCACAGGGAGTCGGTCAGTTCTAGTGACCTGGGGTGGACGCTGTGGTTTGTTTATACCGAGGGCGAGACTCGAAGGACCAACCACACCTTTATTCCCTAGAGCAGTTGGATAGCCGTGCATTATTTTGAACAATTTCTAAAAGCGAAATTAAACCAAATTCAGCTATGTTTCCTAAATACCGACCACCAAGCATGTTAACGAACAGAACCATCTTTCAGCGACATCTAGTGTGACGCAGCTTGGGGTCGAACACATATCTTGCTCTTGCTATGTTTGGCCGGGGAATTCACCCGATATCTGATAGTAGCTTGAGTATTACTTTAACAGTTAGACTGTGATTAAATATCCTAATAGTTAAACCAGATGTTCATATGATGCCATTTAGAAGTTTTTGTGTCGTATCCAAGTTTGGGGTAAATTAATGCCAAAGTGGTAGCTTAGTGGGTAAGCGTTCGCTCGTCACGCCGAGGACCCAGGTTCTATTCTTAACACGGGTACAATCTGTGAAGCCGATTTCTGGTCTCTCCGCCTTTATATTTCCTGAATACAGCTAAAAACGTCGGAAACCACTCTCATTTGGAAATGTGACAGTTTAGTACTTCCTTACCGCTCAATATGTTTACCACCTCCGTGGTGTAGTGGTTAGAGCGTCCGCCCGGAGAGCGGAAGGTCGCGGGTTCGATCCCCGGTCGCGTCATACCAAAACTATACGTCAAAATATGGTACTTGTTGGTCCCGGCCTGGCGCTCGGCATTAATGGGTACAACAAGGACTGGTCGAGTCAGTACAATGTGTCTGAGTGGGATATTCATGCTTCACTGCGCATGGTATCTCAGTGGGCTAGTACTATAAAACCAGCTTAAGTCTGGGCTAGTACAAGCAGCCGCACATGCACATACACACGCATGCACGCCGTCATATGAGCGAAATATTCTCAAGCACGACGTTAAAACCCAAGTTCACCTCACCTCACCTCGCCTCAAGATGTTTATTTCGTATAAAGGTGAGCAACAGTACCTCAAGTGCTATGGCACGTCATAAGTGTAAAGATTCGCTAACACTTCTATTCATGGTTTTGAGATAATAAACAAATAAAGGATCTTAATCCAAACGAAAATCAGCGGATCCTGGCAAGGAAAAGCACAACTCTCTGCAGCGCTTTCGACAACTGGAAACGTTGCTCTCGAATCATTTAAAAAGCGTCGTGACCTAATACACGAGACGTGAAGTGCGACACGTTGAGACCCTTACCGTACATTTACTACTCGCCAAAGTTAGTTGTACCAATGAAAGGAAAGCTTTGCTCGAGGACATTAAACTGAGTGAACTGAGGTTAAGAATTCACGGAAGGTATGAATATATTTATTACCTATTTAAACTTTACAGTACACAATATTCCACGGCTTTATCGTACAGCGAATGGCAATATTATCACTGGTTGACTTTGAATGAAGGGCCATTCCACTACGGTGCTTTGTGGGGCAAATCGGTGTTGGCTAGTTAATTTGCAGGCTGTGTCATTGTGAAGGGTTTATGTGTACTGGATAGAGGGATTAGCAGCTCAACTAACACATCACTCTCGCTTGGTAAGTAAAGTCTCGTTTAGAATATTAGAGTTTTAATCGTGTGTTGTCTTGATAAAAGCCGTGATTAAACTCACGTTTAAGTTTTGTCTGAATATTCCCGAAATGCTGATGAGATATATGTCTTGACGTAAAACTATGCGTTAAGTGTTGATATGTAGACCGGTCTATAGAACGGACGTGGTAATATGAACACACAATGTCATTTAGAAAGTGGTCAGATGTAACATATGTTATGTTTGGGGTTACTCTTTCTCAGTAAAGTACAGATTCTAGTACTTTCACTCACTCACTCACCAGATGAAAACTGGTATAGATCAGATCACATCGAATATTCCGGAACTTATGACCATCCTACATGAAAATTTAAAATCAGAAGAGTGAGTGAGTGAGTTTAGTTTTACGCCGCACTCGGCAATATTCCAGCTATATGGCGGCGGTCTGTAAATAATCGAGTCTGGTCCAAACATAGAATCAGAAGAATAAAACAAATATAATCAATTGAAGCCCCGAACAATATCAGCAGCTGAGGCAATCCCGACGTGCCAAATGCTTCTAGATTTTGATTCATTTTAAAGTTTTCTCGGAAGGCATCCTAGGGTCACCCACGTCCTCTTTGGTTCATAGGAGTAACATCCATTCTTCAAAAAACTGATCTTTAACCGTAGGAATAGAACAGAGCACGTTAAACAAACATACACTTTATCATGTAGATTGAATTTAGATGTACGGAGCTTAAGTCTGAGAAAGGTTCTTTATTTGTTTACTCTTCCACTGAAGCTAATAGGCCTACAAGTATATATTCCATCTACTTTT